TGCCCCCCCCCCCCCCCCCGACGATGCCGTGTTTGAAAGGCTTGGCAGCTTAAACACTCCCTCGGCCGGTTCCGCACTTGTATCCCCAGGCTCGTTCAGGAGATCAAGCACATACTGTGGTTTGTGATCGACGCCGCACCACAAGACCGGCTGGTACTGCTGCGTCTCCGGACCTCCCACGGCAATTGGAGGCGCACGCGAATGGTGCCTCGTGCATCCTGGACACGGCAAAGAATTTCGGGTCGCCTACCCGACAAACACAAACACCTGCTCATACAATGAAAGTTTTCCTCTTGTGGCCTGGGTCCGATGTGGAGCGAAAGCCACCATAACATAATTCCGGCCCATGGACAGGGATTGGGCGGCTCCGGACCACGGAAAATCTGCTGCAAGTCATGCCCAGCCATTTCCCAGGAAATCCCGGGAAATGAAGTCACTCCAGCTCTGGACTCGGTTGGCGACTGACGAGACAGCGTGTCGCTGAAGGCCCTGGCCGCGGGACTCGGAGCGGGTTCATGTCGAGCATTGCAGAGCTGCAATTCCCGACTATTTACGGTCCGAGGATCAGTGATCAATGTCTCGGCCGTTTTTGGCACCACGGAAAGGACGTGGTTTCCAGCTCCCAAACGAGACACGACACCCTGCCGCACTGCTCGCCCATTCAAGCACTTGACAAACCACAGCTAGAGGGGAGGGGGGGAGGAAGGCGGCACATAAGCTTTGGTCAAGTGCAAGCCACCCCAGCCGGTGACCAGTGGCCTTTGTGAACTCTCGTAGCAGCTGGAGCAGCTTTTCGACGACATACGACATGAGGCCCAAAGTGGACGGGGCCATCAAAGCCTTGGGTTCTCCCAATGGACCGCGCCAACCAACTGACTCCTGGCCGACTCTGAGCCGCCGCCACTTGAGCCATCGGCTGCCGAGGAAATCTTGAGACATGGACATTTCAAGCCGACATGTCGGGCCGGCCTCTCATTGGGTCAGCGAGGACGAGACGCGCTCCAGGGGGCTTGCTTGGGCGACCTTTGGTACCCCTGCTCTGCTTCCACGTCTTCGAGCGGCTTGGTTTGACTTACACCATGCCGCAGGGCAAGGGCAGTGGCAGTGGCAGTAGCAGTAGCAGCATGTAGTTATCATCGAGCATGTAGCTGCCCATCGTCGACTGCGCCCCCTCGGCCTTGGGTGCTGCTCGATGTTACTTTTCACCTCTGGCATCCCTGTGGCTTCCGGCTTTCGTCTTGGCCGTTGCTCGAGCGCCGTACTTTTCCTCATTGCCGCCCCTGGTGTTTTCTCCGGCTCATGGTCAGGATTCGAGGCGTGTCCGTCTTAAAAGGAGGGCATGGTGTGCGAGGCTCGGTGCGAGGAGCCATTCCCATCCCGACCACGCTTTCCAAGACAGATCGAGCATGACGAGGGAGCGGTGACGATGCGGCTCCCCATCGGCACAGCACTTCCTCTGGCCTGCTGGTCGACCCTCGCCGTGGCCCAGCAAGCGCCTGCGAGCACCGCGTATCCGCCGGCAACAGAGGTTCTGGAGCTGCTTCCTCCCTGCGCCGTAAGACACTCCGTTCACCCCGGACAGACAGGCGCAGTTTTCTTCTGTGCCCGCAAAGCGATCCGTGTGCTTACCAGATGCGTGTGACTCGCAGGCAAACTGCTTCGCGGCCGTTGTGCCCGGCTCTGCCTGCTCGGCGACAGATGTACGGTGCATGTGTACGAACCAGCCGCTTCAGGATGCGGCGGCGGAGTGCATTCTGAGAGACTGCCAGTCGCTCATGGACGCTCTCTGTAAGCACAGCTCGTGGACTTCGCCCCCTTGTTTTCCATTTCCCCTGCTTTCCGTTGCTGACATGACACGACGTGACGTGGTTCGTGGAAAGCGGCAAAGAACATCACGTCCGTGGCGTGCCGCGCGCCGGTCCGCGACCGATCCGGGCAGTACGTGGCCGTGTCCATCGCGCTGGGGACCATGACGATTGTCACGGTCGTCGTCCGGCTCGTCTTCAAGCAGTTCTTCGCGGCCAACAGAGGGCTCGCGGCGGACGACAAGGTGATCCTGGTGACGCTGGCGTTGCGCATCTCGGGCACCGTCCTCAACGTCGAGGGCCTGGCAGCCCACGGCCTGGGCAGGGACACGTGGACGCTCCCGACGCACGAGCTGACCAGCTTCGCCGAGTGGCTGTACGTCATGGAGGTGCTGTATCTCGCGGAGCTGTCGCTCATCAAGCTCAGCCTGTCGCTCTTCTACGTCCGCATCTTCCCGGGCGCCACGATCCGGCGGCTGATCTGGGCCACGGCCGCGGTCAACGCCCTGTACGGCGCGACCTTTTTGGTGACGGCCATCTTCCAGTGCGAGCCCATCGACTACTTCTGGACGCAGTACGTCGAGGAGCACGCGAGCGGCCGCTGCATCAACATCAACGCCATGGGCTGGGCCAACGCCGCCATCAGCGTCGCCCTGGACTTGTGGATGATCAGCATCCCGCTGAGCCAGATTCCCAAGCTGAAGCTGCACTGGACAAAGAAGATTAGCGTCTCCGTCATGTTCGTCCTGGGCGCCTTGTAAGTTGAGAGGGCCTTTGCTTTTGCCTTGGCCTTGGCCTCGGCCTCGGCCTTCGTTGCCGCCCCCGGCGACCCTTGGCCGTGCGTGTGCTTACGAGGCCGCCAGCGTGACCGTCGTCTCGATCCTGAGGCTGAGCTCGCTCGCCGCCTGGGCAAACTCGAGGAACCCGACCTGGGACCAGTGGAACGTGGTGTACTGGTCGACCATCGAGGTCAACGTCGGCATGGTGTGCACGTGCCTCCCGTCGCTTCGCCTGCTCGTCGTGCGAGCCTTGCCGGGCCTGACGCGATCCCGATCCAAGCCCGCCGCGTACGGCAGCAACTCCTTCAGCCGCGTCACGAGCGGGCAGCCGCTGGCGGAGGAGGGGTCGGGAACGGCGCCAGGGGACCATCGACTTGGCGACTTTGACGAGGGCGCGCGGAGAACATGGACGCGCATAGGTATGTGCAGCGCAAATCCTGGTCGAGCAGGTCGTGCGTACTCGGTGCTCACATTCCGACGCAGGGTCCGGGGCCGAGCTGTGGCCGACGGCACGTTGAGACGGCTTTCCGTCTGTTGGTTTCTCCTTGTCTGGTTCGTATCATGCATATATACCCATATATACCCGGTGGCTCGGAAGAGGCGTCAAAACAGTTTGCGATGCTGGTAGTTTTACCACTTTAGTCTCGTTTGGCTGAGCGAAGCGCCCGAGTTGTACATACCACCACAGTCCAGACGACGGGTTACGAAAAGGGCAAATGGCCGCTCTTATTCTTGTATAGTTTCTCTTACTTGATTAATTCTTTTCAATCGATGGCATTGCATGAAATACTTGAATAAATCTTCTTCCTTGGTCCGCCCTGCCCATCCCCGACGTCAACGGTATCACCAACCACCTGGCCGTGTCATGTGACGCGACTTGCTCACCAGCACAAGTAGGTTTTTTTTTTTAATTTAATTATTTTGCCCAAAATAGGTACCGGGTAGCCGCACAGACAGTACGGCCCCTCCACCCCCCGCCCTCCCGCTCTCGTCGTCACCGTGATTGCTTCACCAGTGCACCATTCACCACTGGCCACCACGACCGCCCTCTGTCTGCGCCTCTCGCCGTGACGTCCTACCGCTGCGCTGGTGCAGACACACACCACCGCCTCCCGCGCACACCTGCAACACCTGCAACACCCGGTCCGCCCACCATGGCCAGCAAGGTCGACAAGATCGTCGCCCGGCTGCAGCAGAAGATCGCAGACGGCGACTACTACGAGGCCCAGCAGCAGGCCCGGGTAGCTGCCTCCCGGTACATCAAGACCAAGAACTGGGACGCCGCCATCGACACCCTGTTCAACGTCGCGCAGTCACTCCTCAAGGCCAGCCAGGGCGGCAGCGGCGGCGACTTGTGCATCATGCTGGTGGACGTGTACAAGCAGGCCGAGCTGGCCCCGGACTCGGCCTCCAAGGGACGCCTGCTGACGTGCCTGCGGCTGTTTGACGGGGAGGAGCCCACGAGGAAGAAGTTTATCACGGAGATGCTGGCGTACGAGACACGCGAACCCCTTCCCCCTCACCCTCGTGCAAAACCGCAGATGGTCGTCCAAACTCGGCGAATATCCGGCCGGAGACCCCGAGCTGCACCACGTGGCGGGGTCCATCTACGCAGAAGAGCACGACACGTACGAGGCGGAGCGACACCTGCTTCTCGGGACCAGGGATTCCCCCCAGCTTCTATTCAACATGGAGTATGCTTGGTACAAGGAGGGCGACGCCCACCTCGCGCCGCACTTTGCCGGCCGAGCCGTCCTGGCCTACCTGCTCGTGGGCAACGTCCGCGCCGCCAACACCTGCTACCGCCTCTTCGTCGGCGCCCTGGCCGACGACAACCCCCGGCTCGGCGTCCAAGACGTGTCGAGCGCAAGCGCCCACGTCCGCGTCTTCCCCAGCCTCCCGCTCCTCAACTTCCTCGGCCTCCTCCTGCTTGCCATCCAGCGCGCCGCCCCAGAGGTCTACAAGGGCCTCGTCTCCAAGTACGCCACGCACATCAACGAGACGGACGCGTGGGCCGAGCCGCTGGAGATGATTGCCGAGATGTACTTTGGCATCGCGAAGCCGAGGCAGACCAATCCCCTCATGGACATGATGAGCGGGCTATTCGGCGGCGGCGGCCCGCAGCCTCGTCAGCCGCCTCGGAGGCAGGGAATCCGGGGCTCCGACGTCCCCGTTGCCGAGGGCCTAGATTAGGCAAACGGCGTGGCGGCGCTGTGCGCAGACGCGACCCCAGGTGGCCATGTACCATAGGAGATGCTAGAAAATATTGTCAATGAAAGCGGGCTTGTCCCGGCAAGTTGCCACCCCGGTGCCTTTGCCTTGCCGCCCTGCCCAGACGCAGCAGGACGAACGAAACAGCGCGCGGGCGAGCGAATCGCTAACGAGTCTGGTGCGGGTGCTCCGCCTCGAACATCCAGTTGTCGTCCGCAAGGGCCGTGACCTTGGCGCGTAGACTGGCCCTCACTGCCTCGAGAAGCTCTGGACTCACGAAACAAAAACAGAGGGAGGTCAACAACGTCCCAGCAGCGCGCGCGGTGGGGGGGAGGGGAACGAGACCGACTCGACTACTCACCCTCCGGCTGGTCCGGCACGCTGCCATGACTGATGCTGTGATGCTTGACCGCCTCTGCGAGCCGCTGTCGCTCCTCTGCAACCGAGCGGCGATTTGTCAGTCAGTCTGACTGGTCAGTCCGGAGGCTGGCATCGGGGCCGCCGGCCGGCAGGCAGACACGTACTCTCGCCCCCCTCGTCGCGGTCCTCGGGCTCGTCCGTCTCGACGATGGGCGTCGGCGGGTCGCCCAGCTCGATCTCGCCCTGCTGGTTCCTCACCACGATCTCGCGGCTGTCTGATGGCAGCGCCAGCGCCTCCGAGTCGGGCCGCACCGTGTCCGCCGGGCTGGAGGGGCTCGCTGTCGGTCGTCGCGTCAGCTGGCTGCGGAAGAGGTTGGGTCGGACGGCGGAGGCGACGGCGCCGGGGGCCCGGGGCCGGTGCACGCCGGCCGGGGGCGGCTCGTGCTTTTGGCTCATGAGCCGAAGCTTGCTTGCTTGCGCGGGTGGGTGCGGTATGAAATGGTGAATGCGATCCGAACGTCGGCGTCGGCGTTGGCGCGTCGTGGCGCGGTGGATGGGAGGTGAAAGATTGGAGAGAGATGGGTGGATGGAGGGGCGGCAAGGCAGCGGGGGCTGCGTGAGTCGACTAGCGCGGGTTGCCAGAGCGGTGCACGCAGCGCGGCGGGCAGCGCCTGGTGGCAGACTCCATCTCGATTCTCCATACACCGGGCTCGTGCGAGTCGTTCGGTACTCCGTAGTCATGTTTGATATCAATTTCGAGTCTCCGCAAACGAGACCTACGCAGGCAATTGAAATGGGAGACGGCGCTGCTACCAGTGTGCACATATACATCCACGCCGCTTCATCTCGCCCCCGACCGGCACAAAACCAATCCGTACAAATCCCACCCGCCCCCAAAACTGTGCTGCAGGCCGATTCGCCCGACTTGCCGCCAAGCTTGCACTCCCTATATCGACAGATTATAAGAATATTCATCCTCCATGTTCTGGCTGACCCAGAGAACAACGGAACTGCACACCGTTAGCACGGCATCGCACGAGCATGCGTGCGGGACCGGAGACGCACCTGCATCCAACGAGCGCATTGCTGACCAGGTTCTCGATACCCATTCCCAACGCAGGCATGGAAACACCGGGCACGGCAAACTTGAGCACAAACACCGTCACGCCACCAGCCATGCCGCCTGCAAGGGCGGCAAAGCCCAGGAAAAGCACCACCCGGGCCTTCCACGCGACCCCAGATCCGCTATAGCTGAAAGAGTCGGCGCTGAGGCGCGTCTTCTCGACAGAGTTGATGATCAACATGCCGAGACTGGAGAAGACGAGCGGGAGCCAGTCGACGAATTTTACGTGGACGTTGGAGCCGTTGCGGGAGGATTTGGACCATACAGCTGAGTCGAGCATGACGTAGAATGCGAGGGAGAACTGCCACCAAACATCGGGTCAGTCGCCGACGTCCAATGAAGCCAGGATGCAGCTCTGCACGAGAGCCGCCTGCAACTTACGAGAGCTCCGGCGCCGTAGATGCCCGCGTTTCGGGCCCAGACACTGTTGAGCCACTCGGGCCTTCGGAACTTCCACAGACGCTCCTCCTCCATGGTGGGAATGCGTTCAGGCCGACCGTTACAGAGCCACGCTACAAGTCCAAGACTCGGTGTAGGCTGACGCTTGGTTGTGTTGAAATGGTGGTGGTTGATGTCGATGATGCTGTGAAGACGTGGCAGGCATGACGGGGCACGAAACGTCAACGCTTCAACCCGAAGACAGCAAGGTCACGTGGGGGCCTGCCAAGCAGACACTGCGACAAGCCGGGGGGCCCGGGAGGGTTAGGGTTAGGGTCGTCAGGGCTGCACAGCGAGGCCATGTTTGTCACGTTTGGCATGCACAAGGAACCTACGTATGATGATCGCGTACTTGAGTATTTGACAGTTTCCGTCAGATTCTGTCCACCTCATAAGTCGGTGTATTTGCAGAACCCAGTGCCACCATGGCTGTGGAGAAGTCAACCTTTGCTCGTATTGCTGGCTGCGCTAGCGCCAACGGAAACGAGATGTCGAAACGATACCGAGTAAGAGAATCTCGAGAGTTCTGCATGTCTTACTCTGTATCACGCGTGAATTCGTCATCGCTTGTCATGCCTTCCATGCCATTGAGGTGGCCCGAATTCATGGTACGGCAGCAGACAGGAATGTCGGCCTCGGGAGCAACCAAAGATGGCAGATTGGATGCAAATGCACCCTCAGCTCCCGCGAGCAGCTCAGCCAAGCCTGAGTCCGACAGAGATTAACCTTCATCAGCGACACCAACAGTACTCCTGTCCAACGTCGGCCAGCCGCACTCCAGACTCCAGAGTAGAGAAATCTTTGTTGCTTTGATGAGCCATCGCGGATTTCGCGTCGTCACTTGGAACACTTCATTCGCTGGCTAAAGTGATCAGGGAGGCAGAAAGTGGGGCGCCGCCTGCCCTTGCCTCGTCGGCAAAACGGCCGGCCAGCTGGTTGGTACGTACCGCCAGGGGGAAGGCGTCCCCACACGCGACGACGACTTGACCAACTTCACAGCCGAACTGGCGGATGGATCCCTTTCTTCCTTTCCTCTTCCTCGTCTCATACCATCGCTATCGTCAGACCCAGCGTCATTTCGCCCGCCGGTGCTGTTCCGGGTCTTGCTGTCAGTCGACATTCTTTTGCACCATTTGTACGAGACACCATTTTCTACTGCCCTCCCGACCTACCTGCCCCCTCTGCCTCCCTTGGCTCCCGTCCGACGGTGTCGTCTTTCCATCTGTTTTAGCCTTGGCTCTGTAATTCTCACCGCCGACGACGTTGACGAACCCTGGCCCGGATCAGCGGCCCAGAAGTCGCCATACAACCTCGTCCGCACGTTGCCGTCGCGAAAATGAGACCTTCCATCCATCTCCCGAGCCCCTGGGTGCTCCTCGCTGCTATTGCAATTGTTGCCCCTGCCATGGGCCAGAGGGACTCGTCGTCTAGCCAGGCTGAGAGCACTCCGTCGTCCCAAGATACTCCAAAGCCAACGCCGTCTTCGTCTCCCTCCTCTAGCAACAACCAACAATCGTCAAGCGCGACTCCGTCGTCTCCGAGTTCGAGCCAAGCAACCATCACCGGTGGCGCGGCGGCCACGACGGGTGGTGAGCTGACCGGATTTCCCACTCTGACCGGTCCGGGAGTGATTCCTACATACCCGCCCCCGAGTGTGCCGCCGACAAACAACGCGCCCTTCATGCAGCAGTCCAGTCTCCCCGATGGAACCGTCTTCATTGCCGTCGGGGCCATCCTTGGAGCGCTGGGATTGGCACTGCTTCTGTGGCGCAGCATCGTCAGTCTCATGCTTCACAGATCAGTTGCGCGCGCTGCTATGGCCCAGCACAACGGCGACAACAAGACTAGCTTCCCTGCTCCTCCGGCGCCGTTTTACAAGTATTCCGATCATGCCTCCACCATGTCTGTGGGGGGCAGTGCCGCCGCTACCGCCGCTGCGCCTGCTGGCCGTGGCGTTCGTCGAACAAACCGCGGGCCCATTCCCTCTGCAACGCCCAGTCAGTCCAACTTGTTTTTTTCTCCCACTGCTGGTGCCAACGCTTCATCGAACCGCGCCTCAACGTTTCTACCGTCTGGCTTCTACGCCGCCGGCAACACGTTACCGGGAGGAGGCAACCAGACCAATTCCATCAACCTTTCCAACCTCCGACCCGATTCGCGAGGCCATTACGCCAACGCTTCCCGCAACACCATGGACATTTCGCCACCCGATTCTCCTCGAGTGACAGCGCGCCGAGACATGAGCAGCAGCTCACTCAATGTCAGCCTTCAGCCCGGCCAGCGCGCCCCCAGTGCCTACCTGGACGATTTGTTGACCGACGACCCCAACGCGTTGCCACCACCTCACATGCCTCCCGCGACAGGCCCACGACATTCTGGCAGTCCAGCCAACCGCTTTTAAAGTGTCATTGTCGGATGCGTATGCTTTACGGATGGGCGCGAAGTGGAGGGAGGCGTCGGTTGGATAAGCAGCGTATTGACTTTTTCTCTTTTCTTCCAATTTTGTTCGTCTTTCTTGAAAGCTGCTTGAATCTTGGATTTGTCAGATGGCGTTTCAGCATTTTTTTTTTTGTGCACTTGTGAACCGTGTCAAAAGATTGTCATGAAGGGAGAAAGAAAAAAGAAGAGAAGATTAAAAACGTGCGAAAAGCGGCTCCGGAGCGACACATTTACACGGTCAGTCGAATTAAGTCGAATTAGGCAGCGGAGGGGAGGGAGTAATGCGAACAGGGCGAATCAAGGAGCTATCAGAGCGTGACCAACAAACGTTGATTGATGCCGCAGCCAGCAACGACATGGGGTCTGCATGGCACGGAAACGGAGTCAGAGTTGGATCTAGTGCCCCAGGCCGTTGTCGCTGTTGTCTTGTTTCACTTCAACGCTTCAGAGTAGCACATGTCAACAAGAGAAGTTGCTTCGTTTGCACGCCCAGCGCGTCAAAAGTGCCCGATTCTCGATTCCGCGGTGCTGTCAGGTCGTTGTTGCACCAACGCCGCGCGTGCTTGCAGCTGGGCGCGCGCATACTACACGTTTGTTTGACCATGCCTTCGAGGGGATGCGGGCGTGATGCGGGCATTTTAAAAACAATTGTATTCTCGTCTATCTCATACCGAGAACCAGTGGTATCTATCATGTGCTGTGCTGGCGCCCAGCAGACATCCATGTACAATTCTGATTTGCGCCAAGAAAAAAACAGAAAGTTGACGCCCATACGCTCACGTAATGCCGTGTACTCGATGATGGACAGAGCAGGGCTTGTGTGCAGTACCCTGCCAAGGCCCGTTTAGTTGGCGTCGAAGAAACGACACGTGTATGTGTGCACATGCATGTACATGTATACGTGATGTACGCGCACATATATACAAAACATGTACGGAGTATACATGATGTGTGGATATACATATATGTATACGCGTGGGCTACCTAGGCCCTCGGACCGGTTGCGTCCAGGGCAGCCATGGCATCCCTTGCGCGCTCAATGTCTTGCAGGCGAACGCCGCTCGTTTCGCACATGGCCCTAAAGATGCCGGCGTGGTGCCAGAGCGCGAGGGGGGCGTCCATCTCGGCGATGCGGCCGGCGTGCATGACGCAGATGCGGTCGTAGGCGATGATGGTGCGCAGGCGGTGGGCGATGCAGAGGAGCGTCCTGCCCCGGAAGCCGGTGGCCATTGTGCTTTGGATCTTGTCGTCGGTCTCCACGTCGACGGAGGAGGTGGCCTCGTCGCAGACGATGATCCGGGAGCCGCGGACGAGGGCGCGGGCGAGGGCCATGAGCTGGCGCTGGCCGAGGGAGAAGTTGAGCCCTTCCTCGTCGACGACGGTGTCGAGGTGGATGCGCGACGAGGGCGTGTACGGGGACGACGGGTCCGCGGATGCGGGGGGCGTGGGCGTCTTGCCGTCGTCGGCGGGGCCGGGCGCGTCGCCGGGCGCCGGCACGAGGTGGGCCTGGCGCAGGGCCGACCACAGGGCCAGGTCGTCGTGCTCGGCAAAGGGGTCGAGGTTGGAGCGGACGGTGCCGCGGAAGAGCGTCGGGTCCTGCGGGATGATGGCCAGGCGCGAGCGCAGGTCGTGCAGGCCGACGGTGGAGATGTCGACGCCGTCGATGACGACGCTGCCGCCCGAGAGCTCGACGAGCCGGAACAGCGTCGACGTGATGGAGCTCTTGCCCGCGCCCGTGCGGCCGACGATGCCCACGCGCTCGCCGCCGCCAATGTGCATGCTCAGCCCCTGCAGCACCAGCGGCAGGTTGGCGCGGTACCGCATCTCGACGTCGCGGAAGACAATGTCCCCCCTCTCCGGCCACGCCGCGCGCACCGGGGCCGCGTGCAGCGGCGCCTCCTCCTCCAGCTGCGTGCCGTAGTGCTGCAGCCGCTCCACGGCGTTCATGCCGTTTTCCACCTCGGCCAGCTGGCGCACGGAGAACTGCAGCATCTGCACAATCGACAGGATGTAGCTGAGCACGAGGCCGCCGATGGACGGGTTGACGCTGAACCGCGACGTCACCACCAGCATGGCCACGGTGAAGACGAGCGCGATGCCCACCATGTCCAGCCGCACCGACAGCCATCTCTGGTTGGAAAAGGTGAGGTAGTAGGCGCCGTTCATCTCGTCGATGCACGACCGCAGCTCCTTGACGAAGTGCGTCTTGAGGCCGTACGCGCGGATCGACGCCACGCCGCTGAGGCCCTCGCCGAACTTGGCAAAGACGTTGGACCGCAGCACTGATTCGAAGCGCTTGACCTCGCGCGCCGACGCTCGATAGTACGACGCCGACAGGATAAACAGACAGTACAGCGGCACCAGCGCAACGGCGAACCAGTGGAAGTAGGCGATGATGAGGGCGAAGACTGCCGTCACCATGGAGAGGGTGAACAGGTACATGCGAATGGCGTCCGTCAGGCTATTGTCCGTCACGTCCACGTCGCGAGAGAAGCGGTTGGTGATGCGCCCGAGCGGCGTCGTGTCGAAGAAGGACATGGGAGCCCGGAGCACGCGCTGCACCGCGTCCCGCAGCATCACCTTGCTCGAGTTGGTCCCCAGCATGGACAGCGTCACGGAGAAGGCGAACATGAGGAGCGATTGGACGGCGCCCAGGGCGGCGTAGATGCCAATGTACTCGCCGGTAGAGTAGCCAAACTTGTCCGACGTCCACCACGACAGCCAGAGCCCGGTGGCAATGTTGCCGCCCTGCGAGATGACGAGCAGGACGATGACGAGCGGCGCGTTCAAGATGGAGCCGGAAGCGCGCACGTATGCTCCGTAGACGGACCAGGGGACGCTTGACTCGGCCCTTTCTTCCTGCTGCATCAGCGCCGCCTTTTTTCTGTTCTCCTTGCGCTTCTTGTGCTCGTCGGCAAGGTCCGCGGCCGTCATGGCCCCTCGCTCTTCGCCCTCATCCTCATCCTCATCCTCCTTCCCCTCGATAACGGTGGTCTCCATGAGAGCCTGGAATCCCTTGTGGTCCCTGATGAGCTTGTCAAAGGTGTCAATGGCCTGGATCTTGCCGCCCTCCATCCATATGATCCTGTCGCAGCGGCTGAGAACCCACAACTGGTGCGTGGCCAGGATGCGACACTTGTCCTTGAGCAGACCGAGAATGCCGTGGTCAAAGATGTGCCGGCCGACGTGGGCGTCCACTGCGCTCAGAGGATCGTCCATGAGGACAATGTCCGCGTTGAAGTAGATGGCGCGAGCAATGTTGAGCCTTTGCTTCTGGCCGCCCGAGATGGTAATGCCTCGCTCACCAATTTCAGTCTGGTCGCCGTTTGGAAGCATGTCCAGGTCTGCCTGGAGAGCACAGCTGTGACGGTGTTTAGCTGTCGGCGCGCTGCAACAACGAGAAAAAAAAAGATTTTGGTCAGACGACTTACGCTTGGACGACTTGGCGGTACCAGTCCCGGTCCATGCCCTTCCCAAAGGTGATGTTGTTCTGGAGAGTGGTGTTTTGAATCCACGCATACTGCGGGCAAAACGCCCGCGAGGCTCCAAAGACGACGTCTCCATTCGTCTTTCGCATGTCACCGGCCAGGGCGGCCAGCAGAGAGCTTTTGCCGCTGCCGACGGCGCCAATCACGGCAACGAGTTCATTGCGCTCAATCTTGAAATTGAGTCCCTGAAGCCTGAACGGCTCACGTTCTCCGACCAAGGTGCTTGACGAGTCCCCTTCAGAGGTCGCAGGAGAATTCTGGACTTCTCCGGGCTTCGGTGCACCTGTGCCCCTTTTCTCTCCGCCTGCGCCGGCGATGGCGCGCCGGTCTGGGTCCTGCGCGGCCGTCCTCTCCCAAGTGAAGCCAGCGTCAATCACCTCGACGGCGCTGCTGCCGTCAGGCTTGTACACGGCATCCTCTTCCTGCTCCTCCCGTGTCAGAAACTCCTCGATGCGCTTCATGGACGACCACGCATCAATGACTTGGCCCAGGACGACGGGCAGCAGATTGAGCGGGATGCGAAGACCGTTGAACAAGGCCAGGGACGAAAACACCTCGGCGGGCCCCAATTGATGGCTCGACAACGAGTACACAATGAAGGAAAGCATCGACGCAAAGGTGGGCAGCGACATGCTGATGGCGTTGATGGCGTTTCGAATTGTCAAGAGCACCTGGATCGAGGAGATCTCCTTGGCTCGCAGCTCTCCCAACCGGGCTACAAAGGCCTTTTCCCAGCCAAAATACTTGACAAAGCGGACCGACTGGAGAATCTCCTGCGTTAGAGACACGCGCTGGTCGGTGATGATGTTGATGGCTTTGCGTCGGCGGAACAGGGTTTGAATGGCCTTTGTGAGCGCCGGCACGCCTATGACGAGCAGGGCGAAGCCGGCGAGCGCGCTATAGGTCAAGTTGACTAGGAGCAACACCAGCGTGATGAGACAAACAACGGGCGAGGTCCAAATCATGTGGAAGAAGGCAGAGGCCTGGTCGATGCGGTAGGTGTCGACGCTCATCAAGTTGACGATGCGGCCATTTGCCCATCCCAGGCCGTCCTGCGGCGGCTGACGAGGCTTGTTCTTCTCCTTCTTCTTGCCTAGACTCTTTTCATCGGCGGCGGATTCTCTGTCCTCTTCCGCGTCGTCGGGTTCGGGAATGATGGACGCCTTGCCTCCGCCAGCCTTGGCCCTGCCCGAAATCACCATGGCCTTCTCGTAGATGGCCCCAATGAGAACGGCTCTGCTCTGGCCGCCCATCATCATGCCCCGATAGATGAAGTGACTGACGCCGAATGCCTGGATGATCTGCATGGTGGTCACGCCAATGGCGAGGCCGATTCCATTCTTGATGGGGGGCGGAGTGCCGCCCGCGACGTTGGCCGCGTAGGCGTCTGTGGCGAATTGGATGAGGAAACGCAGGGTGAAGGGCGCAATGACCTGCAAGACGGCGGTCACGAGGGCGCAGAGACCGCCGAGCCAGAACTCAAACTTGAAGGTCTCGTGGAGCGCCCAGAAAAGAGGATTCTTTTGGCAGGGATTTTGAAGGCGACGCTGGAACGACTGCTTGAATTTTTGGGTCAGAGGCTCGACTGCCCGGTCGGGGTTGACCTCCCAGATGTCACCATTTTCGAGCTGTCGCTTGTAGCCAGTCTGTAGGCGAGAGGTTAGTGAAGGAGAAAACGGGCACCGCGTGTATGCATACGGAGTAGCTAGGGCGGATATGATTTGGATGGCGCGAGATGAGTCGTGCCAGGCACAGGCACCGGCGAGACGCGCGTCAACTCGGGCAAGGCCGACTCACCGTCATCAACGGCGTCATCCACTGAAAGGTCAGCTTGCTGAAGAAGCCGGCCGAATACTCGCGCGACACAATTCGGTCCTTGGGGACGGGCGGAACTCCCCCCCATCGCAACGGGTTCATGTGCCTGTACCAGGGTTTGGCTTTGGCCGGTGGCGGTTGCACCGTTGACGGCGCGCCCGTGGCACAGCTGGTGTCCGTCGCAGCGCTCCTTGTGGCGTTGAGACGGTTGTGGTTGGGCTCCTGTTGCGTCTCGTCGTCGTCGGGTTCGGATGACGCATCGCGTCGGTCTTGTTGACTGGGCGGATCGGCCATGATTTCCCACCAAATTTGACACTTGAAGGCGTGATTGACGGGCACAGGGACTCGTGACGAGAAGAAAGGGGGGGGGGGGGGGGGCACTAGTTGACGCCTAGTGAGTCCTGCTGCCTGCTGCCTGCTGAGATGGATCGAACGTCGGCATTTGGCGATGTCCGAGGCCGACGAGTTTGTTCGCTAGTAGGAGCCTGGCGGTACGTAGGTGATGGATGGTGGAGCCGCCGGGGCACTATTTAATGTTGCCTGTTGCATTCTGTTCCATTTTCTTGTCGAGTCGATGGATGATGATGCAGGATCTCAAGGAACTTGTTGCCGAGAAACAGAGGCTGAAGTTGCCTTGGTTGCGCGCAAAGAAATCCGTCTCCACGACAGCGTCCCGACTCCCGACTCGGCGAAGCTGAGCAGAGTCCCGTACGTAGACAACATGCATGCCGGACATCCGGACCTTCCATCATTCCACGTGCTCTCTAAATACTAATACGCGGACGATTCCAAGTCGAGGAAAAGCCCCGGACCTTTGGCTCGTTGACGGTCGATCCAAGAGCCAAGAAGGGAGGGACGGTTGGCACCCCGCTGTGGGCTTGATAAAGCTTAGTGGTGCCGAGCCGCTGGAAGTACTCTGTACTAGACAGTCTTTGTATTCTATACCATGGTACGGAGTAGAAGAACGGCGCAGCAAGGTCAATTCCTTGTGCAAAAGGCTGTGTTGCGCTGATGGCGGCGGTTAAAAAGGTTGATCACTGTGACAAGACGCCGATACCAGAGGCCCTAGAAGCCCAATAAGCGACGCATTGAGTAAAACTGCCTGGCCATGCTCTGATCCAGGCGTGAAAGACGACCATCTACTGGTAGGTACCGGGTTCCTCGGGAGGTTAAGCTTGTCTGTCGATTAGGTGGGGCAGTTGCAACTGTTGGGAGGCAAAAGAATCCTCCGAGCACTAGTACTCTGTAGTTACGTAGTTATCTTGAACTTGATTGGACTGCCACCGACCGGGCTTGGGCCCTAACAAAAGCGAGCGCGGCCCCACCTAGCAAGGGAATGTATTGTCGCAAACGGGATATCTAAAGTAATTTTTTCAAGACCACTCCAGGCCCTTGACAAAATGTCAGACCAATAAGGCGCGGCAGCATTGGTTATTTTCAATCCGTTTCACGGGATGCCTGATTCTCTTCGGCTATGAAACTGTCTTGACACACGGTTCTGTTGTGGCGCATCGTCACAGTGTCCAGTAAGCACCCTGGCATTGGCTGGCAACCGTCGATCCAATCATCGACTGTTCCCGTCTGCCCCACCACTGGAGATTTGACGTGGGCGGACACGCATCGCATCTCACGCCTCACGCCTCAAACCACATGGCATCTTTACCAGCTGCAAACTTATTGACTGCGTCGCCAATCCAAAGTCGCCGACACACCAGACAACTGCTCCCCCTCGCATCGGCCGTACCTCACGAGCGGCAAGCAAGCAGCGTCCAGCCATGGCCGTAGACGAACTGCCATCCGTCGTCATCCCCGGCAACATCCTCGGCCCTGCGTCGAAATACATCTCCGGCCCCGGGACGCATGTCCACCAAGGCAATCTTGTTTCCTCGCTCCTCGGCAGGGTCAATGTGGCGCAACCTGCAAAGGCCCTCGGGCCCGCGAAACGGCTCAACAAAATCACCGCTCCTGTCCCAGAGGAACTGCCCACCGTTTCCGTCTCAAGACGCGGCCGCGACCGCGAGATCCTGCCCGACGTGAACCACGTCGTCCTGGCCCGCGTTGTGCGCCTCATGCCCAAGCAGGCCATTGTCGTCATTCACCAGGTGGGGGATAGCGTTCTGCAGACCGAGTGGCAGGGCGTCATCCGCGTGCAAGACGTACGTGCCACCGAGAAGGACAAGGTTAAGATATATGAGTCCTTTAAGCCGGGAGACATTGTCAGGGCACAAGTGGTATGTGCTGCCTCGTGAACCTGATCCGTTTCACCTCTTCCTCTTCCTCCTCATTTGTTTTTTTTTTCTTTTCCCCCCCCCCGGACATGTCAGACCTAACTGTAGTGTGTAGATCTCGCTGGGAGACCAGGCGAACTACTATCTCTCGACCGCCGCCAACGAGCTGGGTGTCATTATGGCCACGAGCGAGGCTGGCAACGACATGGTGCCTGTGAGCTGGAAGGAGTACAAGGATCCCGAGACGGGTCTGAGCGAGTCAAGAAAGGTGGCGAAGCCCAGCTAAGGGGGTTTTCCGTCACGAGGGCCTCTGGAATCAGCAAGATTGCCGGAGATTCGGTACACTCCTACAACTGCTTCCCCACCATGAGCCAAGTGCAGACTGGCGTCTCCGGGTTCCGGTGCCTACACGATCCAACAACATGACGCGGTTACGACCACGCGTACGCCGGGGGTAAAGCCGGCGCTCTTTGCGAAGCCCATAACCTCTCTTCCCTGGAAGACGCCGCTCGTGTGCGCGGATGGCGCATGCTCCAGTGACGCGCCGAGCATGGATTGGATTCAAACCGCCAGTTTTGCACAAGGCGTGCAAGCTGGCACACTCGACGACTTTCACATAGAAGTCCACCGTGGCAATAAAATGCGAATCGTTCATGTCCCCTCAGTCGCCTTGTCTGTTCTCAAACTGCCCTATACATACACGCCTTGTGGCATGCATGGCATTCGGAGCCACCTGCGTCATGGCTAGCAGCCTGGCCGGCGAGTTTTCCTCATGCTCACCCAGCCACGTAAAGTCGCCTGCGAAAATGGGACACGCTGTTCCTTGTGGCAGGCACGAATGAGCGTGTCCCGTTTTCGCAGGCATGAATGTCACCAAGACGCAAGGCGCAAGACGCACAAGGCGCGTCACGTACACGGGAACCACGTCCCGTCTACTAGCTGCGAATACCGTCACAGGCCGGCTTGATTGACCAGTTTAGAGACGCAACAGGTGCGGATGAGAGAGGGGACTGGCCACCGAAGCCATATTCGAGTTCAGCAGGCAACCTGTACAAGCCAGTGGCAGGCTCACCAGGGACTTGTTCGCATGAGCTCCGTCAGGCAGCAAGCTTGGGGCCCATTATGTCACAATCCCCCGCTAAATGTGTGTATCGAACCAAATGGCGTACTTGGTCGTCAGCCGAGGCTGTCCGGCTCCGGAAGTGACGTCTCTTTCTTTCGCTAGTCGATTGACAATGTCGTCCGGGCGGTCAGGCAGCTTGCCGCTTGTTGAATTGAAGCCGTTGAACCTCGTGTGACAGGCGGGAATGAGTGAATCTATGACTGCTCGACGCGTGGGAAGCGAGGCACCAGTCAGTCAATCTCCTGGGCTCGGGCTCGCCAGCAATCACATCGTCCCAGTGGAAGCAGCTCGGGTCAGCGACATTGCCCGCGGGTGTTGACGATACCAAGGGCCAGCCAGCAGCTAGCTACGTGGCGCGTTTGAAACACGGCGCAAGGATGTGACTTCCTCCGTCTACGCGGCTTGCAGGCGACCAGGCCAGATTCAGCATCGAATAGATGGAGAACCACAGACAACGCTTGGTGAGGATGTATGAGTCACATGAATCATGATGAGCTTCCGTCTCGGGGGACCCTGTACGCGGCCCCCCCAAAAGCGACGTTATTGCTCCGGCACCAGCGGTGACAGCGTCCGGCCAAGCATGTACACTCTTTTCTAGTGCGACTAGTCGAGGTCGCGAGGTCACGACGTGCCCGTCTGGCAGGGCCCTAGCGAGGGGGAGCCGCTTCACGACGAACCGCCCCAGACATTGAAGCTCGAAAAAATCAGCATAAAGACGGAGCACGTCCGACTGTGGTGCGAGATTCGAAAATCCCCCCCCCCTCCCCTGGCCAAATCGACCGTCACCAACCTCACCTGACTACACCACCGACATCGCATCCGAGCATGAAGCACGCCGTGGTGCTCGTCGCCGCGTGCGCCGGCGCCGCCGTCTCCTTCGCCATCGATCCCAACGTCGCCACCAAGAATCCCACGCGGCAAGAGTACTGCAAGCCCTTTCACGGCGTCAGCGTGGTCTGCCTCGCGGCCATCAGGAAGTGCGAGAGGGAGAACAAGAGGCCCATGACTGACTGGAAGTGGACCAACCGCGCGTACAAGCTGCGGTGCGTCGAGGCCAGCGCCAACCGGATCCTGGACGAAGGCCCAAGAGAATAGTGGAATGGGATGCCGACTCGGGACCTCGGCGGGTGCATGTCGAGGTCGAGAAGGGACACGGAGTCGCTCACGGGTCGCGACGGAGGGAGGAGGCTGCTGCCGGCCATAGATATCCCAAGACATTCTAGTCCGGCAATACAAGTGCCCCTGGGACGGGTCTCCAAGCGGGACTCTTGGCCCAGGAGCGTGTTCACCAACGCCACAGACGCGTCAAGCAGTCTTGAGTCTTGATAGATTTGTCCCCTGTTGAAGGCTTCTACGCAGGCCCGTCGTTCCGCACCACCCGTCTCCGCTGCGGGCATTCACATCGCCCGGGAAGACGGGGAAATGCAAATCCCCATGGCCGTGAAGAGCAAAAACGTACCAGAACGATTAAAGTCTCCCATTCAAACATAGCCCGACTTTTAAAACCAGCCGTGCGCGCACGCACCGCATCATGTATGCCCAGGCCAGCAAGGCCGATCCCCAAACTCCATAACTCGACACAATGGCCCTATTGCTCTCCCCCTCCGTGCCCACCTGTTGATTCTATTCCCAAGAGACGGACTGTGCAGACCCGCGGCGGGGCTTGTCGCCGTAGACGCTGCCGCTCGTTAACCGTCGTCGTCGTCGGCGGCGGGCGCCGCCACACAGCCGCGTCAGGTCGACTCACCGGCTCCCGTCCTTGCACTCGACCGAGTCGTCGTGCGCAATGTCCATGTTGGCAATGCTGTTCCGCGCCGCCAGGTGAAGGTCTACAGAGGAAGAAGCTTCAGCGTCGTTCTGCACACGGCACGCCCGCTCCGGTGCGCCCGCGGCCGGGGGACAGACAGACAGTCGTGCCGACTTACTCTCGTCGATGCTCATCTCCTCCTCAATGTCGGCCCTGCTCCTGCGCCGCTGGCGGACCCGCTCGACAGTTCGTTTGATGTAGTAGTCCATGGGCAGCGAGACCGGCGCGGGCACTCTCACATCGGACAGAGGACGAAGGACGAAAGAGGGACAGTGGTGGGCATCAGCATCAGGGCACGTTGAGAGGAGGGCAATCGACAGGGGGCCTCGTTCCCTTTTGTGGCTCCTGCTCGTGCTCGTGCTCGTGCTCGCGGACGTGTCGAGGTGTCCTGTCCCTCTCTGCCCTTGTGCCTTGTGGTGGTGGTGGTGTGAGTCTGGCGCAGCAGCCCATTCTTTTGGGTTTGACGTGCCGTGTTGATCCCGGCATGTCTGATAGACGCCGGCTCGTGGTTCGTCGTTGGCCCGGCGGCTGGACCGCAGATCTGAGCCGCGCGCGCGTGGCCGCGTCCAGACACAGACACGGCCGGGAATCGCAGATGCGGGAGATGGTGGCTTGCTCTGGCGCCTCGCGGCATGTCGTGGGACTGGAAACAAGAAACAAATGAGGCGATGGGGGACGCAGATAGTACGTACTTTCCGGGAACAAGCACGGCGCGTCGCCAGCCGGTTTGAGACACGGCCACGGCACGCGGGCAGCTGTGCGTCATGGTCATGGGGTCGGTCGTGCCGTCGCCGACGTCGACCGCGGGTCGTGTTCGCTGCTGGACATGCTGGATGATGGTCGATCGGGACCTGGCTGCGCGGCCCTGAACCCGTCGACGCCAGGACGAGGCTTGTCCGGCAGGCTCGCCGGCGGTAGGCTTTGGTGGCTGGACATGGCGAGGGCAGAGTGCAAATCCGGCGCGTCCGCCGAGCAGCAAGCTTCAGCCGCGTCGTGGCGAGTCCAGCACGGGTCCAGTCGAGAGGCGAGCCGTGGAAAAGACTGGACCGTGGCTCTCGGTCCGTCGGTCACGAAAATCTCACACGCAGGGCGCCGATGGTGCCAGATGGAGCCGTCGGCGACGCGCGGCCAAGACACGTCAGGCTGCGTCAAAGACGTGCGTTTCGTCTTGAATTCCTGCATGTGCTTGTGCTTGTGCTCTCCTTCGTTTCGTCTCGTCCACATCGAGATCGGGCACGGGTTCGTCTCACCCAAGTAACCAGTCGGACCGGGCGGGACGTTGCATCCTTGCTCCTCGACGTCATCGGGCGAGCAGATGGCATGAACGAGATGGCTGCCGTCCCGGCCCAGCATTCTTCGCCCTGGGCGGACAATACAAACTGCCTCGGCCGCTGTCCTCGCCGCCTCGACGCCTGGTTTCCCGCTGGGGACGGGATTCCTCGCAGGCTAGAGATGCTCTGGGCGTCACCTGGCCGCCGGGGAGGGACGTGGCAAGTTGTTTGATTTAATAGCATCACTCGTGGCTAGGTAGTGGGATGTCTTTTCTTTGTTCCACGCAACTGGCGGTCAAGCCCTCGGGCCTCAACCGCATGGCTTGCTGCAACGCACACAGGTTGCAGGTGCGGGCCTCGTGATTCCCAGACTGGCCGCCCGAGGGCCATTGCTACCGTTGCCGTCATGACAGCTTGACCAAGGGGGCAGAAAACACGTGTAACAGAGAGACTCGCAGGCCAGCATTCCTCATTCCTCAGCAAAGTCATCCCAGGCACGGGCGAGAGGAGAGGGGCGAGTGTCTCGCCTCTCGCGTCTCGCACGCCAGCGTCCACGTCCGTTGATCATGTTCCTGCCCCGTACTCCGTAATGTCGTCTGAATTTCCCTCAGCCACGGCGCCCGTGGCTCCTCGACGCTCGGCCGTGCCGGTGCCGACCATGACTCCCGTGGTCCCCGGGACGTCTGGCGTCGCCGTCTTGTCCTCCCCTCGGCTGCCGCTTCTTCTTCTTCTTCTCCGTCTCCTCCATGGCCACCTCGACTCCTTTCCTCACGACCTCCTGCCTGACGCTGTTGGGGTGCTTGTGGCCGAGGAAGCCGTCGACGAGGGCGGACCCGAGCGATGCCACGGCCACTTTGGCGCCCTTGGCGCCCTTCCACGGCCCAGGGTCGCCGCGGCTGTCCAGGGCGGCCGTCAAGCCGGTCGAGAGGGCGGTGATGGCGCACGTCCGGACGACGGGGTTCTGCCACCACTGCGACGCCGCCGTCTGCAGCCTCTGCTTTCGGGGCGCATGTGCCGACGGGGGCGTCGACCTGGCCCGCGGCGCGCCGCTTCGCCCTCGTGGGCTTCTTCCCTCGCGGCCTGGCGACGGGTGACGGCGGCTCGCTCTGCCGTGCGGGCTGGGACTCCCGGACGCGTGTCGTGGGATCCGCGGTTCGCGTCCGTCGTCAAGGTCGACCCGGCCGTGCCCTCTCTGCCGTTCGCCCAGCCGTCCACGTCTCCCGTCCGGCCACGTCTCGCTGCGGGCACAAGGCGGCTCGTAGGGCGGCTGCGGCGGCGGCAACCCATCTTTATACGTGTGTGCATATGCGCCCTCCGCTCTGGCAGGGTGTCCAGACGGACGCCAATACTCGTCATCGGCAGGGCTTGCTCCCCAGAGGTCATGTGGAGGCGGTCCGCTGTGACGCCGGCGCCGAGACGACATGGTTTCGCGCGACGTGGCAGGGATGTCGGCTTGTCGACGGTGTGGATTCGAAGGCGGCTCGTCGTGAACTAGATACTATACTCCCGTTGGGGCTTGTAGATTCCCTCGCCGTGCCGGTGCCAGGGGAGAGCAGTAGTCATATTTATTCTCGACCGCGGCCAGGCGCTGGTGGCGGTTGCGTAGGGATTCCCTTCCACGCTTTACGGCGCTCGTCCAAGGGACTGCCGCGTCACGCCTGTCGCCCAACTGGTTTGACGGGGACCGACGATCGACGCACCATGACATGCTGGTGTCGAGGGGCGGGGTCGGCGATGCAGTGCGACCGGGTGACGTCATTGCAGTGCCGTTGTGCCGACGGTGAAACTGGCCGGATGGAGTCTTTTGGTGTTTTTTTTTTCTTTTTTTTTTTTTTTTTACAGCAACTGCCAAGGCCGATGGGGCGCGCACGTCAATCACTCTGGCAAGCTCTTGCAAAAAACGCAAACCGACAGCTCCAGCAAAGGCCGCCGAGCGGCTCAGAGGGCAGCATACATTCTTGTCAAGGTGAATTTGGTATTGCCTGATCCTCTGCGGAAGTCGGCGGTGGAAAGCCCAAGCCCACGATGGGCTGGATTCTCGTTCAAGATGTACACGGTCGACGGCAGACTCCGTCACCACGTCACGGCTCACGGCGCGAGCCAGGGAGTGCGCCTCCGAAGCTCACAGCTCGTCCTTGTCACGCCTGGCCCGGTCCCCGTCCGCGTCCCGCAGGCCCCTCTTCACAATGGAGCTCAAAATCTCATAGACAACCTGCGCGGCCGCCAACGCCGTCTCCTCCCCGCGCCCCTGATAAGCAGGACTCACCTCGACGACGTCGGCCCCCACGACGTTCAGGCCCTCGACGCCTCTCAGGATGCGGATCAGCTCCCTCGTCGTCCAGCCGCCCGGCTCGGGGGTCCCGGTGCCGGGCGCAAACGCCGGATCGAGCACGTCAATGTCCACCGACAAGTACACGGGATCCTCGGTGCCCAGCACGGCCATGATGCCGTCGACGATGCCCCCCGTGCCGATGTCGTCGATGTCGTCGGCCGCGAAGCGCACCCAGTTCTGGGCCGCGTCGGCCTCGTGGTCCGCCCAGCCGGTGCCGCTCAGGCGCGTCCGCAGTCCCGCGTGGAGGGACCGGCCCGTCGACGCGTTGGACAGCAGACCCTGCTGGTTGGCCAGCCAGAACATGGACCCGTGGGTGAAGTGTGTCGAGCCCCATGCCGACGGGTAGGCTGCTGGATCCCACGTGTCAAGGTGTGCTGGCCGCAGTAGCAGTTAGCCGTCCGCGCGTGCGTGTCTTGCGTCTTCCACGGAGCTGTGCAGAGAAGAGATACCGTCAAAGTGAAGCACGCGGACCGGCCTGCCGTATATGTCATTCAGGGCCCTCAACGCGGGCAGCGCGAGGCTGTGGTCGCCGCCGAGGGTGACGAGCTTGGGCCTCCCGCGGCTCAGGGGGCTCGCGGGGGTCGCGCGGCCGAGGTTCCTGAAGGCCTGCGTCATTTGCTCCGCGGCGAGGGCGTTGTCAAACGGCGTGATGGGCACGTCGCCGCAGTCGATGACCCGGGCCCAGCTCTGGTAGGGGTTGATGCCGGCGCGGGGGTTGAAGGCGCGCAGAGAGGTCTGGCGAGACGAGGCTTGTCGGATCGCCCGCGGACCAAACCGGGCGCCTGCGGCAAGCGTGAGCAGAGCGTCATCTCTTGATTTGTTGCCCTCTCCCTCTCTCGGACGGTGGGAAACTACCTGGTCTGAAAGACACCGCCGTGTCAAAGGGCGCGCCGACAATGGCAACGTCAAACCGTTGCTGCGGAGTGGTGAGGCACTTGACGTGGCCTAGGTGCGCAAACGACCCGATGCCGCCAAAGGCCCACTGGCGTTGCATGTCAACTGACTGGCCGGGAGTCTGGGAGTCCGGGACACTGTAGCTGGGTGCGCGATATTACCTCGTGGCCCCATTTCGCGTCCAGCTCGGCCAGCTCCTCTGGCGACCACTCTCTGCCGTCGTCGTCGTCGTCGTGGCCGCCGCCGCCGCCGCAGGCTTGTGCTGGGCCGGCGAGGGCCAGAAGTTGCAGCCACGCTGCCGGCTTCATGATGTAGGCGGAAATGGAAGAGGCTCGCTCGGATATGCGGTGCTGGCAAGGAAGGACAAGACACGAGAGACTTTGACCTGACCAACTTGCTGCGCCCCGCAGCCCGGGACCTCGGCCGTCTCCACATCCTCCGCTCTCGGCGGCCCGTGGACTCCGCCGTCGACGCCGTGCATGGGACCTGTGACGTGTCAGACCGAAAAGGACTGTCTACACGACGATCCTCCGAGATCCCCGCCGACCCGTGCATCACGATGGACAGCAAGAAACATGCACATGTAAAGCCAGATGCAAGTTGCCGCTGTGTGCCAGACAGAGAGCCGACATACCAAGTCAACGGCAGACGTACAAGATGTGAAGCAACGCTCGCAGGAGTAAAAAGGTCACGCACGAGGGCTCGAGAGCCGCCAGGAACAGGGAGCGCACTTCGCGCACAAGATTATGACGGTGACGCAGAGAGAGACATTGCTTGCTGGAGGTCATTGAGAAGAAGACTGTTGACACTTATCTTGTTGTACATTATACAGCGAATGATATGTGTGGAGCTTTTCCATGTGAATATATCAGATGGTTGATTTCACGTCTCTTTTCCTGGAGGATATCATTCTGAGCGCGATATACATGAATTCTGACACCTTTTTACCTTTTTTTTTTTCCTCCTCCTTCTCCCTCTTCTCCTCCCTCTTCTTCACAAGCTCCTCGGACCGACGAAATCGAAAAACAGACCATCCGTCCAGGTCCAGGGTGCTGCGTGCGGCTCCGTTCCTTCATAGCAACGGATCAAACAGCGAGTTCAAAAAAAGGGTCCGGCATCCGACTCGGGCTCCAGAGCACAGTCCAGTTGGTCCGGGGCTCAAGACTGGCCCTGCACGGCAAAGGCCGCGTAACGCTTCCCAACTACCGAGCCCAAAGGTGCCGGCAAAGCCGGGGCACCCAACGCCGGCATCCCACGAGCCCGGACGCTCGGCGGGATGGGATCGCGGCATACGAGAATATAGAACGTTTGTCGAGGTGCGCCGCGCCGCGCCAGCATCCTGAGTCAAGGGTGGGCGGGCTGCGTGAAGCTAGCAAGGGCCGAGTAAAGACAGCTTTTATGCCCACGACTCGAGCCTTGAAACGCCCATGTAAAGGGCGCACCCAGCCGGCAGGCTCGAGTCAACCGCGATTTGTCATGCGGAGGACAGCCAACGTGCCGGGACTCGCAGTGGCCATGTCGCTCGCCAGTCATGCCGCGTTGCAGAGGTCGTTTTTTCCCGACTCATTTCACTGCCGGCGAGACACGTGGACAAGCTGCGGTGAAGGCAAGGCTTGGTGGGAGAATGCAAGGTGTAGAGATGCGATCCCTTATAAACACGCGGCAAATCCCCTCCGTTTGGAAGCGGACTTGCTGGTGGCAGATTACGCATACCCTTTGCCGCTTGTCGCTTTTCCCCAGTCGCCTTCTTCTCTTGCCGTTTACTTAGGCATAGTCACGTCCTTCATTTCGAGCCCTGCGCTGGCGACAACATGGTGCACGGGACGGCGTTGCAAGCAGTGCTCTTGGCCGTTTCGGCGGCGGCGGCGGCGGCGGCGACGACCATGGACAAAAGAATCCACGGCGGCGAGGCAGCTTCTCTTGCCGACTTCCCATACTTTGTCAAGGTCGGGACCGGGTGCGGGGGCTCTCTGCTGGATAGCACGACCGTTGTCACTGCTGCTCATTGCTGGAGGAGCCTGAGGCAGAGGACGTACGTAGAGAGCATGGGGGAACCGGTGAGTGCGAGCCGCCTTGCAGCGGACATGCGAGGCACAGGGCTGATTTGTCTAGGGCCTTGTCTCTCCGGTGGAAAGCATGATTACGCATCCCAACTATCTCGAATCACTGAAGGGCTGGGAGGGCAACGAGGAGCGATATCAGCAAGCCTACGGATTCGACGTTGCCATTCTGAAGCTGTCGACTCCGATGGAAGCAGGCGCAAATGTTGGCTACGCCAAGTTGCCGGCGGCGGATAGCCCGAAGCCCAAGGCTGATTCGGTCGGAATCGCAGTAGGGTGGTGAGTATCGACATCTCCCTCCTCTTCCGCTTCTTCCTCTTCCGCGGGCTAATCAGCAGACAAGGGGTCGCAATCCCAAGGAACGTGGCAACGTCGCCAAGGTTGAGCTGCCAATTCTCAAGGATTGTCCCGCACAGGGAGGCAAGTGGCCGGTCAAAAACGCAATTTGCACCGGCAACGGTGGACGCAGGAAGAGCGCTTGTCACGGCGACAGCGGCGGCCCCCTTGTCGACAAGGACACGGGGGTGTTGATTGGCATCACCATGGCGGGCTCGTGTGGCGAATACACGTCCTTCACTCCCGTCGCCAGGCACCTGGCGTTTATTCGAGAAAAGATGAATTCGCGCCGGCCGAAGGGGGCGCCGAGGTGCAATATCGTCCAGTTCACGGCAGGGACCAAGGACACGTGCCTGACGTCCCAAGACTACAGGTACGATGATCCTTTCAGCTACCAAGCCCAGAAGCCAAAGGAAGTCTGGTGGGGGCACAGTCAGCCCCACTGAACAAGGAACGAGGGAGGCGAGGCGAGCGATGGGCGCGCATCACCATGAACCTCGCCGGCAGCCGGGAGTTAATGACTCTGGAGTCGTTGCGTCACTGGTCATGCAGTCACGCACAACTCGTCTCGTCTTGACTCGTGGCAAGTGCCAAGTGCCGAGTGGTCCCGCCCTTTCCTTTACAAGGTACGTACCTACGTGCCTACTTACCGTAAGTAGGTACTCCGTAGGTAAATGCGTAGCACCAGCCATACTCCGCAAAAAAGCTTCATCCATGTGCCGCGCGAACCAAAACCGCTGCGTGGTCATGACTCGTCTTGTTGACTTGTCAACTTGCTGCTTGTGCACTCGAACCAGACGCGACATTGAATCGCAGTCCGATCAATCTGCGCCCACACCAGCCTGCATTCCTCAGGGACGCTGGCGCAGGTCAACCTCGTCGCTGCGATGTGCTGGCCCACAATTCGGAGCTGTCAAAAATTAAACCTTGTTGAACCTTGCTTGTCGCAGCCGCGTCCCTTGCCCGTGCCCACCGCCCACCACTTAAATCCGCCGCCCACCGCCCGCGGTCCAGCCCGCCGTGCGCCGTCTGCACGCCCCGCATCGCCTCCTCGCCTCCTGCTGGTCAGGCTCGCGAATCCAGACTCGGCACGTCCAACAAACCGAAACATAAACAAGACACAGAAAAAAAGAAAAAAAGAAGGAAAAAGGGAAATCCAACAGGCACTTCCGAGTCCGGCGCATCGAGGAATGCACACGCCATCGCCGCCAATGTAAAACACCCTTGGTGTCGCCGCACCAGCTCTCCTCTTGCCGTCGGCACCTCGTCTGCAACCTCGTCGGCCTCGATTGAAAACCCGGCGACTCGTCCTCTCCCGTCCTCCACCACCACCACCACCATCATCAACGAGTTCGAAAAACGCCCGAATCCGCTGAAACACCGTACGAGGGGAAAAAAGAAATGACGGCCAAAACCACCCTCAACACACCCGCCACGCCCTCGGCAACGCCAAGCTGCCCAAGCTGCGGCTTCGCCCTCTCGCCCTCGCCGTCCCCCCAGGCTGACCTCCTCCTGGCGCGCCAGAAAATCGCCCAGCTCGAGTCCATCATCACCGACCTCAACGCCAAAGCCAGCGACGCCGTCCGCCGCTGCGCCAAATACGACGAGGAGCTGCACGCCCTCCGAGCGCAGCACCGGCCCTCGACCCCGTCCCAGTCCCAGCCCGACGCCCCCTCGACATCATCCCCCTCCTCCATCGCCAGCAGGCAGTCCCCGACGCTGCCCTACCGCCTCTCGGCGCTGCTGTATCCTCGCAAGTCGTCCCTGCCTCTCCGCCTGGCGCCCGGGCTCGCGCCCCCGCTCCCGCCGCTGTCGCCCGCCACGACGATCCCCTCGACGGAGCACCTGATGGAGGCCCTGACGCGCGAGCAGGCGCTGCGCAGGGAGGCCGAGGGCCGCCTGAGCGCCACCAGCAAGGAGGTCGAGGAGCTCAGCGTCAGCCTGTTCGAGCAGGCCAACGAGATGGTGGCCTCGGAGCGCCGCGCCCGCGCCCTGCTCGAGGAGCGCGTCGACGAGCTCGAGAAGCGCGACGGCGAGAAGCGCAGGCGCCTCGAGCGCCTCGAGGCTGCCATGGCCCGCATCCAGAGGGTCAGGAACCTGCTTGACGGCTGAGGGTGAGGGGAGCGAGGAGCGAGGCCCCAGGGACCCAGCTACCCTCGAGTCTTTCATCTATATACATATATATTCATCTTGATGCACAAAAGGGCGAGATACCAGGCGTTTCGGGTCGGCATTTGCACGCGTGTGCTTTCGTGCTTTCATACGCGGACATGTAATATATTCGTCACTCACTTTTTTTCTGTGTTGAAAGAGACGACCTTTGGATACCTTGACTGCTTTTGTTCTCTTTTTCCCCCACTCGTGCTCTACATGTTCGTACGCTGGTGCCCTGCCCGTTGCGTACTCGGCCATGCCAAGCAAGTGTGCGGCCCGTCACGGCCGATGCTGGTGCGCGGTGCTTTCCCTCGCATGCTACAATATTCCACGCACGTGCCCGAGTATTTCGCCTCTATTGCTGCCCGCCCCCCCCGTTGATCTAGTCTTCAATGCCATTCCATGACCTTTCGTCGTCTGACCTGCCGCGTTTTGTCGCGGACGACAAAGTCCGCGTTGCCTTGCGCGCAGGCTCGCCCGACTCGCTTGACGGCCCGCGTCGCCTCTTGGCCTGTCCACCGGGCGACTCGGCCTCGACGGACAGCCGTCGTTTCTGCTGCTGCTGCTGCTGCTTCTCCAGGGGGGACGTGTTGTCGCGGTCGGGCTTGGGGCTCGCCCGCCGTCCCGGCCAGCTGCCCTCTGGCTCGCCGTTCCAACGGGCCAGCATGTCGGCCACCTGGGGCCCCCAGACCTGTTCGCCCTTGGCCAGGTCGTCGTACTCGAGCGTGTTGATGCCGCCCGCCGTAAAGTCGCTCTGGCGCACGCGACACAGCTCGGCCATGATGGCGGCCGACCCCAGCCTGGAGCCCAGGTCGTGGCAGAAGCTCCTGACGTAGTACCCCGACGACACGGTGAGCCGGATCTTGCAGGCCGGAGGGCCCTCGTCGTTCCACGGAGGGGGCGTGCTGGAGTCGGGCGTCGCGGGCACCAGATTGGACCCCTTGCTCGAGTAGACGGGCTGCGGCATCTGGCCCAGCGCCCCCGACATCAAGGCCTTGGCGTCCTTGACGTGCCGGCTCTTCCTGGACGGCGCGTCCTTGATCAGCTCGTCCTGCCGCTCCTCGAACCGCTTCTTGAACGTCTCGTGCGCCGCGATCGCCTGGTCATCCTGCTCCTTCTCCTCGGGCGTCAGCGTCTTGCCCGTCTCCTGTTGCTTCTTCACCCTCCACACCTGCTCGGCGAGATTGCGCTCCGCGGCCTCGGCCTCCTCGGTCGGCCACCGGTGGTTGTGCTTGCCGGGCTCGTACCACTCGACGAGCTCGACTTCCAGCGCCTCCACTTGCCTGCCCTCGATCTCCCTCGGAATGGGCTTGCCCTCGCGCGCGTACTCGTAGAGCGGCTTCCCGTTCATCTTGAGAGCCGAGTACAGGGGCGGGATCTGCGTCTGCCTGCCGCGGAAGCCCTCCAGCTCCTTCTCGACCAGGCTCCGGGTGACGTGGTCGTAGCCCTTCCTGGACAGCACCCGGCCGACCCGGTCGTAGGTGTCGGTGCTCACGCCGAAGACGACAGTCGTCTCGTACGTCTTGGTGCAGTCGAGAAACTGCGACAGCACCTTGGTGCCGGACCCGATGCCCAGGATGAGCACACCCGTCGCCAGGGGATCCAGCGTGCCCCCGTGTCCTATCTTGACCTGCGACGCCTTCTTCTCTGCCTTTCTGCGGTTGAACTGCTTGCCCGACTCCTTGAGCCGCCGCGCGAGTTCGGCCTCGATCATGGGTCGGAAGAAGGTCGACGGGTTGAAGGCCTGTTGACACTCTCGCACAACCTGGGCCGAACTATGGCCGCATGGTTTGTTGATGGCTGCGCGGCGGCGTCAGCGAAAACCGCGACAGGACGACCCGTCACCGCGGTGCTGCCTGCCCCTGGCCGTGGTGCGCCAGGGAGGAGGGGGGACGGAGAAGGGAGGCAAGGCAGGCTGGAGGAGACTCACCAAAGACGCCATCGCGGACGACGTCTGACGCCATCTTCAACACCCTCCCTGCTCGTCGCATGCGAGCGCTACTGGCACCTGTCGCGCAAATCGCACAGATGAGGTGGCGACTATGCCGTTGGCCCCAGCACAGCTCAGCCGCCTTGCCTTTGCTGCACCTCGATGATTGTGTTGTGTCAATCGAGAAGGTAAACGGGATGAACCGGTTGGTTGCTGGAGAAGAGGGCAAGGGGATGAATTTGGATGCAGTGATGGGGCGATGCGGCGACGGGCTGCACGCAAGCTTTCCTGGGCGACGGCGGAAAAAAAAAAAAAAAAAAAAAAAAAAAAGCGACGGAAGAGGGGGGGCAACAGGGTTCGGTGTCGTTCAGGAGGCAGACGGCTTGACGCTGCAGGAGGCGCTGCAGTGGATGCGGCGACGACCCGCACTGGAAAAGCCAACTTTGGCGGGTCGAAAGTCACCGTGGCATCCAAACCTGGGCACCGGTGCTTAACCAGTTGGGTACTTACTCGAGTACTCCGTACCTAAAGCAAGTACCTATGTACACTGGCCCGTCCTTACAGCCGGCCGGCCCGACCACTGGAACTGCCCCGCATATCAATCCGGATCGCGGATCCGCACACGCCGTCATCGCGCTCTGCACGTCGTCGACTTCCAACTCCTTTCACAACCCGCGAGACCTCCCCCCTCTCGCATCATCGCCAACATGCCGGGGCGCAGGCGTAGGGCGTCCACGTCCAGCGTCGAGACCGTTGACACGTCGCAAATCCGCTGGCGTCAAGAATCCTCCGTCGTGCGATCCGTACCAAAGGCCATCCCCCCCGACGACTGGCCCGTCTTCGAGCTGCAAGATGCCATCGTTCTGAACAAGGACGGCGACAAGATAGAAAACGCCCTCCACGTTGGTCACGAGGGCCCTTTCATCGTCAGGGGCTTCCTCATCATCGATGACCCGACCCAGCGGTCACATCGTTTGTGACCCCAACCACCGCCCCGACGAACTGCGTCTGACGCTTGGTAGTCATCATGAAAGTGCGCGGCGCCACCCCGCTCGAGATTCGACGATGCGCATCCTACTCCATTGGAGAGTCACCCGACGGAAGACCGCTGATCTGGGTTTCGGGCCAGGGCGGCTGGTACGAGATCGATCCCAGTCCGGCCTACAAACCCATGTACAACAACATGTGCGAGGCGACAACCATGTACTACAACATGGTTGACATTTACGCAGAGGACCCGCCAAAGAGGTCAAAGAAGTCGAAAAACAACTCCGTCATGGACGAGCTGGCCCAGGTCTTCCACAAGGTACCGCCGCCCCTGATTCCTCGTCCAGCATGGGCCCGTCGTCGGACTGACAGGACGCAGTACGCCGCGCGCATCGGCGACGGCGCAACACTGGAAGACGTCTTTGAGAGGGCCAACAAGCACAGTGCTTTCTTTCTCGACCAGTTCTCGCACAGCAACGGCCTCGACTACAATTGGAAGTCGACGGCCTTTTACAAATACATAACTACTGAGCATGCTGTAAGCCAGCCCTCGCCGCTGTTTGGGCCTCGCCGGCAACGGAACACTAACTCCCCGCGCCTCCCCGTCGACCAGGACCTTGGCAATCGAATCAGGGATGCCATGGAACGACTCCGTCTCCAGTCCTTTGCATCGGACGCAGGACACAGCTCCCGGGAGAACCCCCGCTCCCGCTCGGCAAAGAGCAGCAGCGTCGAAGTCACTGACCGCAAGGCCCTCCAGCCGAGCCAAAGACCGAGACCAGCCTCGACCTCGACCTCGACCTCGACCGCCCCCAAACCCGCCGCCGAGAATGCCGTCCCCGCCATGCCGCTCTACGTCCGGAGCGACCAGGACGCCGCCGCCGACTTGCCGTTGCACTCTGTCCTGAGCGCTCTAGAAGATATATACCGCGGCATTGGTTCCAGCAAAAAGGGCATGACATACCTGACGACCCTCAGTAAGCTGTACTTCAACTGCACTTTCCCCACGTACAAGGACAGCCGCATCGGCTCTTACAAGCAGCCCGCCGACGACGTTCTGCACTACTACGCCCGGGCTCTCGTCGAGACACTGGACCCGAAATACCACGCCCATCAGATGTACAGCAAACTCGAGGAACTCGCCACGACGCCCTTCCGACCACTGGCATACAGGCCAACCGAGTTCCCCATCGTCCTCGCCCCCCGTAAATCGATGCCGCGGAGGGTGGCCTCGTCGCAACCCCCCTCCACCCCCAACGCCAGTCCCCAAGGCCGCGCATCCTCGGCGACGCAGACTCCCCGGCCCCAAGGCAAACGGCCGGCGCGCACGCCCGGAAAATCCGCCCTGCGCCCGGTCAGCCGGGCCCCCAAACGGCCGCACGACGAGCTGGAAAGCGACGACGGCGAGTTCCCCGGCGTCAAACGGTCCCACTACCTGGACGAGGACGACTCCATGGACGGCGCGCCCGAGCTCACCTCCCAGGACGAAAACGACGCAGACGCAGACGCAGACGACGACGCCGGCGCCGACGCCAAGGAAACCAAGTCCAGGCTCGGCCTTGGGCCCATCAAGCTCGTCATCAGGGCCGACCGGATCCCCGACTCGTCGCCCCGCGGCCCGCACGACACGTGGACCTGCGACGAGGACGGGTGCGGCTACACGGTCCGCGGAGGCGACGAGCAGGACTGCCAGCACAAGATCCAGCAGCACTTCAGAGACCACGAAAGGCAGCTCAGGCGCGTCAACCTCGCCGTGACCGAGGGCGCCCGCAACCACATGCCCATCAGGTACGCCTACTTCCCCCCGTTCCTAATCCAAGCCGCCCTCGACCACGCTCCCTTCCCTCCCCGTCACCATCCTTGGCTCCCGCCTCACACGCCACGACTCGCCGTCCAGGTCGACGCAGGTCCCTGCGTCCAAGTGGATTAGCAGAGGGCCGCCGGTTCCGCGCTCGAGTCGAGCCGCTCCGCAGGACGTCACCCGGGAAAAGGGCCAAGAAGCTGACCTCCCCGCAGCCACTTACTCGACAAGATCAAGCAGATGAGGGGCGAGCAGGACGACAGCGTGCAGCCGATCAAACGAAAGCTGATTGTTTGAGTCACGTATGGGCGTGTGTTTTTTTTTTTTCCGAGGGCGTTTTGGGGGGAGGGGGAGGGTGTTTGCTTTTGATATCCGGCAAAAAATTCAACGAAGCGCGTGCTTCAGGCGCTTACAGTGAGCGGGACGGGCTCTCGATCCTGGTAACTTTATATAATGTATTATAAATCCATCCGGGTACTACTCTAGTATACATGGCGCTCGCGACATCTACGCAATACTGTGATCCTGGTCCTGGTCCCGGTCCCGGTCCCGGTCCCGGGCGTTCTTTGCCTCGGGCGCAGCCACGGCGTCTTCTTGCGTCGCCCACCGGCCGCTTCTGGCCTCGGCGACAAACGTCTCCTCCATGGCGGCCAGGCGCTGGAAGACGCGCAGCCAGCGCTGGCCCCATCTGCGGATCATGGCCTCCCGCTCAGAGGACCCGTCCCCGTCCTCCATGAGCTGGTCCTTGGTGCCCGATGCCCAGCTGGCCAGGGCGTCGTTGACGGCGGCGAACAGGTCCCGCATCGACGAGACCTCCTTGTCGCACGTGCCGCCGTCCGCGTCTGGCGACGTGAGGAGCTGGCGCACGCGGCCGCTGACCTTGGCGACGGTGTTGGCGACGAGCTCAAGCATGTGGGCGTCGCCGAGGGCCGCGCCCCCCCGCGCGCCGTTGGGCGCGGTGCTGGCGGCGACGAGGGTCCAGTCCACGATGGAGAGGGGCGTCAGGATGGAGTAGTTGAGCAGCTTTTCGATGATGATGATGGCCACGCCAGGGTGCGCGGCCCAGTAGTCCATGATGGACGAGATGATTTGGGCCCGGGCGCCCGGGTGCGCGCTGCCCACGTCGATGAGGCGGCCCTTGACGCGGTCGATGCATGCCAGCACGTGGCTCAGCGACTTGGATCCCACCCAGCACACGGCTGTCACGAAGACGTCCGTGCTGGCGACGACGGGGTCCAGAGCTTGTTCCCGGGCCTGGGCTTGGATGCTGTCCATCAACGGCTGGATTTCCTCATCTGGTGCTTTGCGTCGGAGGAGACCACTGATTTCTTGGCCTTCCTTGGCAAACGGGGTATCTGTGGCGCGTTTAGTCTTCCTTGTCTGTTCTTGTTCATGTGTTTTGTTTCACCACTCTTGTCTCCCGGCGCAGTCGATCTCGACGGCCGTGGTGGTGCAACGGGAAAACAAAGTGTACTCACCCGAGTTCATGTACTTAAAATCAGGCACGTCCTTCTCTTTTTCGGGCCCAATAAGACGCTGGTATGGTTCTGGCAACGTCTTTTGTATTCTCTGTGCAAAACTCAGCCGGATCTCCTTGTCCAAGGCGCCGAGCAGGAACCATTTGCGCGGGTGAAGGTCAGGTAAAGCTGTATCCTCTGACCACTCAGCCCACTTCCAAGTGAAGCCAAAGTTACTGAGGTGATGCGAAAACCAGTCCAAGAAACGATGGCTGAGCTCCAGATCTGTCCGTGGCGTGTTGCGGTACAGAAATCGTATGGCTCTGCCGAGGCTAGGAGCAATGGCTGCTGGGGCAAGTTTGCAGGCTTCCGTCAAGACGGCGTGGTAGTAGACGACCTTGTGTTCAGACTTGGGGAGCTGGAAAAGCTGTGAGAAGACGGCATCCACTGCAACGTCTTCGGGCTTCCACGTCGAGCGACCATCAGGCTGGTTGCGTAGCTCATCAAACGGAGTCGCCCGTTTCACGAACGTTCCGTCCGCAAAATAGCAATCAAGATCCATCAAGAATCGAGCAGTGGCGTTCCTGTTGAAGTCCAGAACGTTGATGGTGTCGGCCAGCGAGTCGCGGATGAGAGACGTGGCAATGTTGCTTGGAGGCGGGACCGATTCGACCTCTTGGTCACCGTACACAGAAAAGTAAATTTCCGGGAACAGGATACGAGGCCCGGCAATGGCTGTGGGCGGGACGGCAATGGCAGGGACAGCATGCTTTGTCGCATTCCCGAGCTTCTCTTGAATCTCAACCTCCTCCAGGGGCATCTGCCAGGGTCGAGGGATGCAAGCCAACGGCCAGCCCTTGGACGCCTCGGCCTGCAGCTGCTTCTGGAGAAGCATACACAGGCTCATTGATGCGGCAGGGCTTTCGTCATCTCCTTCGGGGTGGAACGGATCAACGAGGGCTTGGAGCGCGTGTGGTTCCGAGGCAATGACGTCCGTCTTTTCCATAATGTCGGCGGCTTGTTGAGCAAACCGACCCGGTGCAGCAGCCATCGCATAAGGGATGGTCAGGAGAATAATCTTGACGATTTCTGTTCCGATAACCTGTAAAGGATCAGCACAGTCAAAGAAAGAGCAAAGCGCATTGCAATTGACAAGCCAAGGTCACCCACGTCATCGGAGCTGGCCGTCTGCAAATGTGCAGCCCTGACAAACAGCTCTTCAAGCAAGGGAAAGATGCCGTTCCCCTCCAAGCACCCCTGCAGGCACGCAAGCAGCTTCAACAGGAGCTTCACTTCTCTCCACTGGCCCTTTGCGATATTCTGCTCCAGCTCTGTTGCCAGACGAGCAAGCACGGCATCCACCAGTTCAGGCTTGAGCGTGTTGGCCACCACCACGACGGCACCAACAAAGGGTGCTTTCAGAGGTTGCTCCACGGCCAGCTGCACGACAAGGTTGACAAAGTTATTGCGCAGGTTCTCATCGTCGTAGTTGTCCGCGACCATTCGCGCAATGGCCGTGACTTCTTCGGCCCATCGGCGCAATGGGGAATCGGCAAGGCTCAGAAGTTGACGTCGGAGACGGACCGGTACAGGGGCAGAATCTGTGCGTCGGCGCTGTTGACGGCGATCGTGGTGATCATCGTCCTCTGTGTTGGAAAGCTCCTCGTCAGTCTCTGCTCTGAAGCGAAGCTGAGTGTCCTCCTACCTCTATATCGCCTCTTGCGGTTATTATATCCGCCGGACTGGCGCCTGTCATAGTCCGCCATTGCGCAGTCACCAACAAGACTTGCGGGGTTGAATGATCGTGCCTGCCAATGGGTCGTGAAGGCAGAGATGAGTGATGTAGTCTCACGACGGCTGACGGTTCTAGACAGAGCTCGGGTTGGAAAAGGTGATGCCGATCCACAGAGGTTGCCTTGGTCCTGCGTTTGTGCCTCAGGCAACAAGCACTATTTCGTGTCACCTCCAATTAACTAACTAAAAAGGCTTTCGAGAACGAATCGCCTCACTCGTAATCCATCTCACACGCACACGCAATCAGAGGCTTGTTTGGTGAAGGGCAAAAAAAGCCTGTTCGCACATCAAATCCATGCAAATAGCTCCTGTGTTGATGCAAGTACCGACGCCTACCTTGGGAAGCAGACTCCGCTCCTCCAACCCCGTGGTATACAACACGTCCGCAGCCGCATGCTGGAAACAGACAGTCAAGACACTTTCCGTAGATTCCCTTCGCCAAAGTAAAGACACCTCAAGCAAACCCTCTTCTTTTTCTTTTCTCACTCTGACGTCAAAACTACTCCCTCCAGCCATCAGATACGCTATTCATAAAATATCGCCCCACTATCCATACCTTGTTCCCATTTCCGATGGTTCCCTCTTGGGCCAGTGAAGCCGGGTTCCGGCCAATTCCCATATATTCCAACGCCATCGTCCGTGACCAACCGATGGCGACACAACTTTGCATGGCTGATATTCCCTGGTTTTCTTCTCTTGTTTTTCCCCGGCGCGTGCAACAAGGGGTAGTCATCTCATGGTCCGTTCGAAGCCGACAAAAACAAAGAAAAAGAAACAGAGAAGCAGAGAAACAGAGAGCATTGATTCAAGCAAGCAAACCAATCCTTCCAAAACCACAACACCTAAAAGCAAGTGGCACATGGACAGCGGAAGAAACGAAGAAAGAAAGCGAAAGTGATAGGCCTCCCTTTGTCATGCACCGAAACTTTGTCTAAAGCGTCATCGTCTCCCCTGCCATCTCCCACATTCAGCCACCTTGGCTGTTTTTCCCAAGAGTATGTAGATTAAACCCGGTCGCCCTACAGAAAAAAAAAAAAGCCTGGATCCTCGTGGATCCTCGTCATGATCGTTCCTCTTCGTTACGGACTGAGCCTCGATCTCCAATTCCCTAGAACACACTACCCCCAGCCGATCTCGCGTTGTGGCAGACAGTTGCAGGCAAGCATTTGCCGAGTCAACGATGCCAGCCTCGAGATCACAGAATCCTTCTCCCGACATCTTCTTCTAGCTTGCACATCGAGCATGTCTTCCCCAAATGTTCCACTTGCAGCTCGGTGCCGGGAGTGGATGGGGCATATGTTCCAGAGCCACCTAATGCCGCATTGAGCAACCATTGGCTTGCTTCTTCTCCTGTCTGCTTGTGTAGGGCGATCAGTCCAGTTTCGCAATCATTTCTTGCTTCGTCATCGGTGTGAAGTTGTCGATATCGAGTCCTTGCGAGGCCAGGACCGGTTTAATGTGAGCGGGAACAAGCTGCGCGTTCAAGTGTGGTGCAATGGACAATTCTACGCAAAGTACATGTTAATCAAATTGACCTTGAGCCAATGTTGAGCCAAAACAAGATGGTCCTTACCATGCCGCGTGAAGTCGAACAGAGCAGGCAGATCTCGAAGCTGCCCAGAGCCATGTCTTGAGTCGGGCAATTTGGTGCCTGGATCCCGGAGCTCGCCAAAGAATGGGTGTACCATGGCGTCAATGGCCGATTGTCGCTCGGTTGGCGTATATTCAAGCAATCTCGCGATAAGATCGATTGCACTTGCATCTGCCTTGCGGAACACCTTGTTGAACGGGTGAGGCTTGATCTGAGGAAACTTGTGCTCCATATAGTTGGGGTTCATGGTACGAATCTGCTCTCGCGTTGGCGTACCGAGGACCTTGATAATTTCGACCAATTGGTCAATACCAGACTCGCCGGGAAACAGTGGCTGACCAAGCATCAACTCGGCCATGACGCATCCAGTCGACCAAACATCTACATGCAAAAGTTAGCGATGTGAAGCCTGGCTGATTACATACCGGGACACGGGTCCATACCAATCTTGGTTGTGTAGTTCGTCGCACCAAAAATCAGCTCCGGGGCGCGGTAATATCGAGAGCAAATGTACGACACGTTCGGCTCGTTCTCGACAAGAATCTTGGCGCTACCGAAGTCGCATAACTTTAGGATGCCGCTATTGGGATCGAGTAGAAGATTCTGGGGCTTGATATCACGATGGCAAATTCCTTGGGAGTGGATGTATGCCAGGGCTCTGAAAAGTTGGTAGGTGTACAGCTTAACTTCCAGGATGGGCATGGTAGTCTTCATCTTGTTGAAAAATCGAGACGCTCGGTAGACGGTTTCAGGAACAAATTCTTGGACCAGATTCAGGTAGACTTCATCCTTCTTCAGGCCCATTAGCATCGAATGTGAATAGCATTGCTAGCAGGTTGATACGTACTCTTTCACCGTTGGAGTAGTAGAAGGCTTTGAGCTGGACAATATTTGGGTGTCGAACGATTCGCATGATTTGGAGTTCACGATTCTTTGGCGAGTTAGTCGACTTTTTTTTTTCCTGCCCCTCATTGTCAGGTGTTCATCACCAACCTTGAACCTCTTGTCTTGTAAAACCCGCTTGATGGCGGCATCTTCTCCTGATGGAGATAGCTTGGTTTGAAACACTACACCGAATGAACCGTTGCCAACGATCTTGCACTGTGTGTACTGCAAGTCCCTGGTCTCTCCCGTAATCCCATCCTGAACCTTTTCACGAATGACCTCTGTAGCGCAAATTAGCAATTTGAAGACATTGTAGTAGAAAGGGTACAGGAAAGGGCGAAAATACTAACCCCCCATCCTGAGGTTGTTGAATGCATTTGGCCGATGGGACGACATTCTGGGTGATCAGAAACCAAAATCAACAAATGGGAGCCACCGGGTATCGACAATCAAGAAACCCGGTCTTAGATGTGATATGTGAAGTGCAGACTCAAAAGCGGCGTACCGGGCCGTGGTGGGCAACGTATCGAGCTGGATAGAGAGAAGCACTAGTCTCCTTGGTGCGCAGGGGCACGTAAAATGGACGTAGACACCACTAGTCCAGTCGCCAGATGATGGGTATAAGAAATTATCGTCTCGAAGTGTGACGGAGGCGATTCTGGTGGCGAATAAGACGGGCAACAAAACTCAAGCCGCAATTTCAAATTGCACCTATTGTAGGAGAACAAAGGGAAAAAGGAACAAGTCAGCATAAATGTTTACGTCGCTCGAGTAGCTATAGCGAAAGCGTAGAGCGAAGAAGAAAAGAAAAGAAGAGACGAGGGCAGATTCGGGTATTGAAATCAGTCAGGGGGCCGACTCAAGGGGCATCAGGGTGATGGTTCTCATGCTGCTAGGTAGCTGGGCATCCTATGGCTAGTGATGGCATATGTACCCAGAGGACTGACGCCAGACAAGCAGATAAAGCCGTACTCGACAGCCGCCAAGACCCCAGACAGCGCAAAGGATGCCAGGAGAGCGTCGAGACGGAAAGGTCAGGTTGATCCTCCGAAGTCGGGCGTTGCAGCACAAGCTGTCACCAGACACCCAGTGGCACCCATTTGGCGATGCTCGAGTCGGCTTCCCCGCAATTTGGACGAAGATGGAGGCAGTCTGAGCGGCTGTATCGTAGGAGGATCATTAACAGCAAGACGCGCATGCGAGTTGTCCAAGAATTGATTGATTAGGGCAGGCAAGGAACAAAGGGAGTTTTTTTTTCTAGGTAAATATGGCGAGGCGAGAGCGAGGCGAAAGCGACGAGAAAAGCGAATGGGGCGAGAGTCGAATGCAATCGACTGAGAAGCAAATGGTGGGGTTCTGACCATGTGCCCGGGATGCTGGGAGGATTTGCGGCGCACAATTGTTGCGAAATGGCGAGCAACGGAAAGTCGAGGCGTCGTGGAAGCAGGCGTAAACAGACAATTGCTCATGTGCTTGTCGACGGGGAGCAGCAACGAATAAATTGCACGGGACGGCGCATGTGAGGGAAAATAAGCCCGCACCAGACGGACGGAGGAGAGACAGAAGGAAGTGAGGGGGCACGAAGAGATGCAAACAAGGGCAAACAAGAGACGAAAAGGACTGACCAAAACGGGACTCGGGCGGCGGCAATAATGCTACTCGGCTGGCAAACCGTGTCAAGGTCGACGCAGTTGGGATCGGAGGACGAAAAAAAAAATGAAGGCCTGATGGAGTCGGGCTGGGCGCTTTGCTCGATGGCAGACGGACGGACGGACAGACAGAGATGGAGAGAGCGGATATTTGCGAGCGCAGCGGGCGCGAGTGGGAAGAGTTCAACTGGTGGAAGTCGAGTTGAGGCAGTCTGGTGCTGGTGCTGGTGCTGGGTCGCTGGTACAAGCACGCACAGGCACGGAACGCGAGTACAACTGTGTACGTATAAGTAGCTGGAGCGGGAGCTGGAGCGGGAGCTGGAGCTGGAGCTGGAGCTGGAGCCAGTTATGTCTGTGCCCGGCTGCTGATGGTGGTGCGGCGCGCACTGCTGCGTGTGCGTGCGTGCGTGCGTGCGTGCGTGCGTGTGTGTTGTGTTTGCGCGTGTCTGGTCTGGTGTGTCTGTCTGGTAAAGTCTGGCGCTGCGGGGCAAGGCGTGAGGACTCGGCGGCCGATTCTGGAGTTGAAGGACAGGCAGCGCCAATGTGAATATGAATCTATCTACTCCGCACTCGGTACCTTTGCAATGCGTCCCAAGCTGTGTCGAGCCGAGCTGTCGAGCGGCGAGGCGAATCGAGGCGAGGCAAGGCGAGCCTGATTGATGGCAGTCGAGGAATGCTTCAGAGGGCACGAGGGGGACAGGTGGAATGGGATGGGATGATGGCCCAACTTCCAACGACGGGGTACGGAGTACTCGACACGGCCTATTATGTAACCTGTGCAGTTTGTCGACCAGACGGGGCTGCTGGAGCTGTCCGTAGGAGGAGGAGGCGGCAGCTGCCAGAACTGCGAAACGAGCTCGGTGCCGGCGCAGTTGATGAGCCAAGTGGTGGCCACGGCGGCGTCGTCTAGAGGGGCTGGCGGGCTGGGAGGGGCACGAGGGGCCTGTCAGTCAACTGCTCAGGGTCAAGGTCAAGGTCTTGTGTCTTGTTCACCTAGGTGAAGACAAGGTCAAGACGAGGTCAATACTAGGTCAAGACTAGGTCCCAGTGGAATGGGCATTGTAGGGACATGTGCACGTTGCCTACTTACTGAAGTATTTATTGGCTTGCTTGGGTTGACCTGCTGCGGATGGCGAACCTGATGACGCTCTCTCTGCGGCCTCAATCTTTAATGTCGACACGGCGCGCACGCTTCACACCATCCATTCTAGCTTGACCGCTTGTGCACTCCTTCAGGCTCCAGACTCCAGACTCCAGACTCGAGCGAGACTCCCGCCTGCCTGCTTGCTCTCTTCAATGCTGGTTTATTGGAGAAAACTTGGTCGTTGACCGCCGTGCCTGTGCCTGTGCCAATATCCTCAATCTTCAACTGTCGCCTCGTCAGTCAGTCAGTCAGTCAAGTCGTTCGTCACAATCCTACGAATCAATTGGCAAATTCACATCCACGTAACCTGAGCGCTTGAAACACCAGCCCACTTGAGCACTCGCCTGCCCGCATTTCAGTTGCAGCCCAGCAGCGGATGTGATGCCAAATAAAACTTCGCTGGCCCCGTGCCACTTTGATGCCGCAGCCCAGGCTTCGACCCCTCCACTGACTGGCCCAAGGCAGACGGCCAGTCACGGCCAACGTCATTGGGCTGTGCAGAGCGTCGCTGTGAAAGTATGCACTGCGTACCCCTGGGCAATTTCCCAGGCCAGGCAAGGCAGCCTATTGCGCTAGGTGTACTCCGAAGGAACCTGGTACTTGAGAGCCCGGCCAAGCCGGCCTATCAAGACTTGTCGTCCCGTGACGTCCAGCGAGTGCCGTGCCGTGGCCGAACTGGCCGAAAGAGCAGAATGAGAAAAAAAAACAGGGGAACAGAGGGGAGGGAGAAGTATCTCTCGTATCCATGCTTGCAATACCGTCCCGGTCCTAGCTTAAGTACTTAAGTACCGTACTTGCCTTTTGAGTATCAAACGAATCACTTCAATGTCGATGGGCTAGTTCACCCACGGTGCACACAACGTCGGCAAATAAATAACACGACGACTTTGGCATACGTTACGACAAAGTATAGCGACCGAGGTTGGTCGGATGGACAAGGTGACACGCCGGGCTGCATTCAAAGGCGAGCAAGAGCAAGGAAGATCCGGGAACAAAGGTAGACTGTAGACGACAAAAAAAGGTCGACATTAAAAAGAGTCCAACAAGGGGCCACCGACAACGGGTAATGCCACCGACGTAATAACAGTACGTACTACTCCGTACTGCTACGACAATGCTCCGTACTTGCCGGTACTACATAACTACTGCTGCAGCAGGGGGAGGTGTGAGAAACATGGAGCATAAGGAATCGGCGGAACCTACGTACCAATAAATTTGAAATCACAACGTACCGACTTACCTGGGTGGTTACCTTGAGTACTTACTGAGTAGCTACCAACTCCGCCCTCCGTACTTGCATCTCTCTGTAGCCCGTCGACGGTCCATGAGGCTGCTTGGGATGGAGTTGCTAATACAGACACAGCCCTTGGGCAGACAATCCCAGGCCTTTCTTTACACCGCGGACGCCTCAAGCCAGAGACTCGCCGTGTTAAAATGGGGTAGACCCGCAGCGTTGGGCTTGGGAGTGCTCATGTGCTCAATTTTGAGACGGCAGCATGGCGCTAGCTAATAGGCCAGCAAGCGCTGGCGCAGATGGTCCAGATGCCCAGATGCCCAGATGTCCCGTCATCGCCAGGTCCCCTGCAAGATCATCATTTGATGGCTGGCGCACCACAGACACGGGTGCGACGTAGAGCCCATCAAAAAGTCCAAGACCCATACACATGGTAGCCAAAAGCGAGCAGGGCACGCCATGACATGACATGCCAAGCGTCTAATAAAACCATTGCGGCTCCGGAGGTGCTTGGGCTCTTCTTATGGCGGGCCGACCTTATGGGTCGATTGCGCTTGACTTTGCCAACATGTATTGTGTATTGTACTGTACCGTGCTCATGGGCCATGACGAGCATGGCATTTCCAATGTTGCTGTTTCCGATGGATGGACGACTCCGTCGACGTGCGTCATGGTCACGGGGGCCTCGTTTCGGCTTTGGCCCGGTCGTCACGACCCTCACGGCGACACAATATGTAATCGTGATGCTGGTATTCAGGAGCCAAAGATGGCGCGGCTTGCTGCATTCCTCAAGGAAAAGACGTCATGTCACGTCTGATTCTGAAAACAGACGACTCTGGCGCACCTCGGGAGCATTCAGCCCTCGCGAGGCCATGCTTTTTGCTGGAGGGGCGGGGAGGGAGCCCTCACGGGCGAGGGTTGTCTCCATCGCAGCACTTCCTGCGTCATTGTGGCAACCAAGCACCCGGGTACAGAGTAGTATCATGCAGTCTTGATAAGGACAGATGCTGGACATGCGTATTGCTGAATGTTGCGCATTGGACTGATGGTCGTGATGGCCTCTGGCGCGGTGGTGCCGGTCTGTTGTAACTTGTGTGCGCGTCGTCGGCTCGTCAATTTCAATTTACCTCTCCCATGCATGCCATGCTCCGCCTGCCGCCCTGTCCCTGTCCCGGCCAAGCTCGGGTCAGCAGTCTCGCCCAGTTTTTCTCAAACATTGCTCCGTGGACCATGTCCTGTCGCCCTATCACCTGACCATCGGGCAGGGGCTCATCACGGCCTAGACCAGCCCATTGGCTTTGAGATTTGCCAGGTGATCTAAAATCTCGGATCTTGGTCGTCCAAAACCATGGTGATCTTAATAAATTGAGCGAGCAGAGCCGCGGATTTATCTGGTAGGTTCCGTGTACAGGTACGGAGTATACATACATATGCCGGCTGGTCCAATCGAAAGGGCACCGTGGCTCGAGGGTAAAACCACCACGCGAACAGACGGGCAGAATCAGTACCAGCCTTGGTGCCCTGGACGGTTCTAGTCAGTCAGACAGACGCACCCACGACATCAGACACCAGGCCCATTGGGATCGAATTGCTCCCAACGGAGAAAAGTACTTTACCTGGTGAAGGCGGAGTGTGTCTTCCAACCTGGAAAGGGTAGATCTGGGCACTCGGTAGGTACGTACCTGACAGGCGCTGAGTTATTGTTGGAGAAGTCGAGTCGGGCAGGCGCAGGCGCAGGGGGTTGCCCGCTCCTGCCAGGATATTCTTTTCTTGGTCCTGCCCATCGCCCATCGCCATCGCCCTCCGCACAGCTACTGGTTGATCACACCACACCATCGTTTTGAATGCTTTTGAGTCCCTGAAAACGTTGATGCCATTGGGGCAAACTATCACCAAACGTGAGATCCGTAACTTGTCCACAGGTACATACGTCACGTCACGATCTCTTGCTTGGGTGTTGGCACATGCCACCCTTCTTGTCCAGTCTTTGAGCGCCCGCCCATTGACCAAGCATCGAGGCAAGTTCAGGGGGAAAAGTGCCTCTTTTTTTCCTTTACGGCAGCCTTCCGCTGACGAAACAGCCACATTCATCCTCCTACTAGTAGTTCTCTCTCAGTAGCTTCTTCGTCAATTGCTCGTCGACGCTGTAAGCAATTGACGAACTGACTCGACCACCTCGCTCTATGTGTCAATCACGAACACCTCCGGCGCTGTCTTCATGGACCAAGGGCAACAGGGAAGGTTCCATGCTACCTTATAACACGGAACCCTTGCTCCCCAGAAAGGGATCCCATTCTTCCACGAGCTTCATCCCAGTTACCTACCGGCCACCCGTGCGGGGCACCAGATGCAAGATACGAAGCTATTGGTTTCTGTTCCGTCCAAGGCCATAGGACTACATTATCATTCAAGCTACGCAGTCCTCAAGTGCGGAGCCAGTAACTTATCTGTCCCCGTATTCGACGTATCACGATGCGCCAATTGCTTCTGCGCAGGTCGGCAGCGGATGTTCATCCAACTGAGCTTGACCCCGCGCTCAATTGACTTTGACAAGGAGCTATGTACGATACGCGGAGCATCGACACATAAAATAACTTACCATGTACTCATACCAAACTCGATGCCGCCAGTCGCAGTTGGAGGGCATCATAGCAACCCGTTTGAGCCGCAGCCTGCTCCAAAGTTTATTGACTATTGCCGGTTTTTATTTTGTTCATCTGCGTGGGGGCCACCATAATAAAATACCGCGGTAGCAAAAGACGGCCAAGCTCGAGTGGGTGCGGCGCCCGCCATTTACCTTGCTGCCCCTGTTTTCTTGGTCACGCTGCACCTCAGACGTCATGACTGGGCCGTTGGCGAGTGTCAAGGTTACGGTTTTGAAACCCCGGGACTGGTTACTGCGAGTCGGCCCTCATCAGGAGATCCATCGTGGCACGGCAGGCTAGAGACTAGGAGAGACGTGCAGTTCAACAGTGTCGTGTCCGTCTTCGGCTAATATCATTACTACTACGCAGCTGCAAATGACGGTTACACCACGTCTCTCTGCCGCCACGACACTGCCGGCCTGATTGTGTTGTTGGATTGCTACGCGGCTCTTACGAGTTTATTTGCGGACCAGCGAAATCTGTGTGGAATGTTCAAAGGTCTCATGACCCTGCCATGGGGCGCTAAGGGCCGATTTAGGTTCGTCAGCGATCAAGACTCCATCACCTCCGACTACAACCACTAGCATCTTGCCGCTTCGAGAGGAGCAAAAGCAGGGGACCTGGTGCATAGCTGCTGCTGCATTTCCTGCCAGGTTGTGCAGTTCCACGAGCTTGGGGTCTCCGTCGAAGCCGCACATCCTCCTCACCAATTGCTTCAGTTTGCGACGTGGGGCACTTATTGTCTGTTCGAGTCGGACTCTACGTTGGCTCAAGCCTTCCTGGCTGCTGGCGAATTGGCGACAGACTCCCGCAGCCGAGAAGACAAAGCAATGGGTCCCACACCACGTCCCAGAGTCCTGGACGAATCATTCTGTTCGTAGGCGCTGGTCTGGTCACGATTGTGGCTTTATGGAGCCTTCCGTATTGGGCGCAGCTGTGCTTCTGCAGGTGCTGTGCTGCGCAGTGCCCATAGTTGAGAAGCCGTTCTCCGCCACCAACGCTTCAAAGGGTGCCCGGGAATAATATCACGGAGCATCTCCGGCGTAGGGAGCTTCTCAAACGCTGTGCGTACCCCTCCGGCGGCTTCTACACACATGAACATGTCTGCACATGAGGCAGCTGTGTGAGTCTTGACGAAGACCATGCCTTCCTGCTCAATGGCAAAACTTGCAAGTAAAGCGGGTACATGCGAAGTACTCCGTACGGAGTAGGCTTTCTGAATTTGCTCAAAGAGGAACACATTTCTATGCAGACAATGGGCTACAGCCTGCCACGATCCCTCACCACTCTCACCACTCTCACCGGACCACACCGTGAGACCATGCTGCACATATTTTGCTCGTTTGTGTGGGCTTCTGCTTCGTTGGAACCAGGTCAGTCCGGCTCTTGCAGCTTGCAGCTCCAGGAGGGGCAAAGCCTTTGGTCAGCCCGCTCGTCGTGGCCGGGAGCTTTGTTGGTCAGGTCGCTGCAAGGCCGGTGAGCTATTACACGGGCGAAGATGCTGTAGACAAAGTGCGCCCAGTGCGTCAGACGGTGGCTAGGGGGGCCATGCCATGCGTGTATGTCCGTCCACATGCGCACCTATGAGCCGCCATTGATGAGCTTCTCATGGCGGACGAAGCGGTTGTTTATGCCTCGCTCAAAGCGACAGAGCTGCATCAAACATGTGTATTGACGATCTCAATACCACGCTCCGACTGGAAAGCACAGCAAGGGCATGGTCGTCTGCTACCGGCGTCAAATTGTCTAGATGCTCGATACTTGCACTCTGCCGAAGGCCGCTTGCGACTAATTACATTGTCGGTGGGATGTGGCAATCATTGGGCTTATCAACGAGTCTGTACTCGAACGAGACAGGGTCTTCAACGCACGGCTAGGAAGCTGTACCATTAGTTGCCGCTGAACCAACGGTATTCCGACTTTAGCCCCTCGGCTCACAACAAACGGCGGTGCCGATACGATGATTTCCAAGCTTGACATGGGAATCAAGACGTATATATATAAGGCAAGCATAACCAAGGTCCCGTGTCTGCAGTCGAACAAGATTCGACCTTGATACATACATGGTACACATACGGCCATGATCAACCACTCCACCATTCCAGCCAGCACAAACAACCGTCACATCGCTCACCTCTGGCAAGAACCAAGCCGCCGTTCCGCACAAACCGCTCGCGTCGACTCCCATCGCCCCGGCAATTCCAAGCTCCAAGCAGCGCAGTCCGTAACCTTGTCCCCCCTCTCCAAACGCCAGGCAGGGAGCACCATCATCACGAGAGTAAGGAGTAGTAGTACCACCCTCAAAGCTCGGTCGAACTGACTTGGGGGCCAAGACTGACTATGACTAGCCCTTGGTCGCACGACATGTCCGTTACACCATGCTCAAACACCATCGTCGCAGGCGGCCTGGCATACATCCCTTGATGCTTCCTTCTCTAGCTGAGCAATTTTTTATTTATTTTTGCTCCACCTTCTCTCCCCCCCAAAAAAGCCTTTGCGTGTTTTTATACCCTACATGGCCAGTATTTCCATGTTGATTTTGTTGTTGTCCCTCGCACCCTGGCTGGCTGGCCTGCTGGCTTGCTGGCCGGCACATAGACGACGTGAACAGAGGGCACAGCTCCGTGGACAGGGTTCGTGACGCGATACAATGTTACTCAGTAAGCAAGGAGGCAAGGAAGAGTGAAGTGGCGTCGGGACATGCAGTGCAAAACGCGCCCTGGCTGCCCGGGTAAGTACTACTCGGTAGGCAGGGCATCATCGCGCTGCAGCATGTTCGCGCTACGGGCCGTAGGACAAAAGGAAGCGAAGGCAGATGGGAGAGATTGTATGTATCTTTGTGGTTGATTGCCTGCTTTGGGCATCATGCATGTCGGTGGCTGACATCATGTGCTTCATTCCGGGAACTGAAGGGGACTGGAAGAGGCACGAGACGATAAAAGAAGGGGGGGGTAATTAGGAAGTGAAGACGCGTCTGCAGCTGTTGGTCGTTTTTTTTTCTCTTCTTGTCACTTGCGTGAACTACAGATGTGAATGTGGGTGAGGTTTACGCCGGTAGGCAGGGCATGAATCAAGTTGCGGCCCTCGTGGGTTTTTGTCTCACCATGTGCTTTGTCGTCTTTGCCTTGGCCAAGGAACACACCGGACAGTCTGGCCAACGTCAAAGTGATGGTGCTGAATTTTGTTGTACCTTTTTTTTTTTTTCTTGTCTCCTTTTGCACGTCCTTGCTTGCTCCATTTCTTGATGACGCCCCAAGCTGGTAGTAAGCACTGAGCAGCGTGATCCCTGCACGCCACGCCACCCACACATTGTTCCGTCTTTTAGGGTTAATCCTCATCGTCCACCTTGTCTGCTACCATGTCCTTGGCCGTGTTGATCACCTTCTCCGGCGGCCGCTCCAACGGCACAGAGGGACTGCTCATGCCGCCTGCAATGGGACTCATCTGACCGCTGCCAGGGATGCTGCCTGCTCCCCCAATCGGGATGCTGATGCCTTGCACCGGAGTCTGCATGACAGCCGGGGATCCGGGCAACAATTCGGGATCAAGACCGGGAATATGGACGCGCTTGGCTTCGTTTTGGTACGCAGCGGGGATTATCTCAATGATTTCGTCACGTGGAAACTTGAGGTTGGGGATTTCCATGGTCGAACAGTGCATGAGGTAGGCGTAGAGGACGCGGAGGACAGACTCGTGCGCGATGATGAGCAGATCGTTTTGTTCACGCTCGAGCTCGAGGATGATTGGCTCGAGGCGCACGGCGAGGTCATGGTAGGACTGGCACGACGTTAGCGAGAGGGTCGTCTGCGAGACGTTGCTGGTTGCGAATGTGCCGTACCTCTGCTCGGGGATACCGGTGGTGATATGGATCCAGGTCGCGTTTCTCAGCTTCCTCGGGGTACATCTTGCGAATCATGTGCTCCGGCAGGTTCTCGCAGACGCCGGGGTTGATCTGGCTCATTTGCGAGCGCAGGCGGACCTTGTAGCCCTTTTGCTTGAGGTAGTCGGCCGTCTGGACCGTCCGCATTCGCGTCGACGTCCACACCGTCAGGGGCCTCAGGGGAACCTGCTGGCCCTCGCCCCTCTCGGTGCTCTCTGCGTGTTCTTGTTGGCGGTGCCGGAGGAGCGTCTCGGACATTGTCTCGGCGTATGCCTTGCCCAGCTCGGACAGCGGCGCGTCGGCCTTGTAGGAGTCCTCCTCCTCCGTGGTGCCGGCGCGGACGAAGAGGGTAGTCCTCGACTTGATGTGCAGGTTGGTGAGGTAGAAGACGATCCTGTGGGAGAGGTAGTTGAAGCTGACGTTGTTGTAGAAGAATTTGGCGCCTGCGTTGATCATCTTGATGTAGTTGAGTTCTGCTTCGTCCATGGTTTCGAACACGGGGATCCGCATTTCAATCCTTTTGAGGTACAGTTTGGCGGCTTCGTCCGGGTCCATGCCCGCGAACTGGACGTGTTAGCCGTGGGAGGGACGGGAACCGGGCGCCGCATTGCGCTTACATCTGGAGACGAAATCTTGACATTTCTGGCGTTCTCGCGGAGAATCCGCTCGTCATCCACAAATGATTCAATGAATAGCGTCTTGGTATGTTAGCTTTGCTTTTTGCCTCTCCCAATTTTATTTTATTTTGTTCCAGTTTTTTTTTTGTCCCCGTCGTTTGGCAATTTCAACATGTGGGCTTGCACGTATTTACCTGAACATCGTGTTTGCCCAGCTCCTTGGCAAGAGATCGGCGACCACTGGCCGTTGGGTTCACGGCATCGTATATTGCCACCTGGCCGTTTTCGTGATTGAGCCAGGCGTAAATGTCTTCTCGGCACTTTTTCAGGATTTTCTGACGGAGAATGACAGAGGACGGAGAAGCATCGGGGAAGAAGTAGTCCTCGGGGACTGCACCTTCTGGGCCGATGGTGGCCCGCCGGTAGTCGCCGAGATGAAAGATACGCGTCTTGACGCCTAGCCATTGCAGATAGCGGGCCATGGAGACGCAGATGTGGCTGCGCGTGTTAGGTTCGGCTGGCATTTGTGAGCGTGGAATGACACGACTGGAGTCGACTCACGTCTTGCCGCGAGCTGGGGGCCCGACCATGACGATGGCGATACGCCCCGAGTGAAAGAGCCTGCCGGACATGGTGCTGTACAGCTGGGCGGGTGCCAAGTTGTCATTCTCGGCCACATCATGAATGCCGTCAATAAAGGTAGAGCTCTTGCGACGGTATCGCGGGGCGTTGGCCGCGATCTCGGCAGTTCTGGTGGCTGTCAGATTCCGAATTCCCAGCGTAAAGACTTTGCCTGTGTCCCAGAATGGCAGAAGGGGGTACTCAAGGGGCGAGACACCCACAGTAATGTGTCCATGGTAAGCGTGGCAGTTGGATGGGACAAGTCCCGGGTCTGCAGAGCAATCTCTCGATGGCGGAGGTTGACCGTGTCGTCGGCCAGGCTTATCTTGGGAAGTTGAGGCCACTGGCCGATGGGCTGAGCTCGAGTCTCGACGGTCAAGGTGATGGAGGAGGTGTCGCAGTCGTGAGGTACGGCAGAGGAGGCCACGGCCGAGGAGAGGCGAACGATGCGGATGAGCTGTGAGCTATGAGCCCGGTGGATTGTGCAAGGAAAGTGAGGCGCTTTGGAGGGGCTTCAAGGTCGGGCTGGTGTCAGGTGTGAGACCCGAGACCCGTGGCCAACGATGTCCGGGTGTCATCGGAGGGCTGAGGAGAGAGAAAGAGTCGTCTTGATCTTTTTCTCCTGGGTTGAGGCCAAGGAGAAAATGAAGTACATGCAATGCTTGCATTCGGACCAATAATGCGGCGCGGGAACCCGTCAATCTGGTGCACCTGGCTGTAGGGTGGCATTCAGGGACACAAAGCGACGTATCGAGTACCTGTCGTGGCTGCCCATTTGGACCAAGGATGCGAGTCTGCGGTACTTGATGATGCAGTCTCGCAGGCGTGGAGGCGACGGCGGGCATGCGGCACGGAACATCAAGGCCCCGCCCTCCGCCGCTTCCAGGACGGCGACGACATGCAGGGATCATTGCTGTGGCGCGGGCGGATCCAGCACCCAGCACCCGCCACCCTGACTGCACCCCAGCACCGGCCCAGCTCTGCCCAAAGTCATCCGGGGCTGGTGAAAATTATTCTCCAGCTTTCGACCCTCGACGTTCGGCCTCGTTTCTTTCCCTCAACGCCAGCGAAGCTCGTCGTCACGTTGCCTGGCGACATCCCCCCCCGCGAGACAATCTGCCGTCCGAGAGGTCCGTCCGTCGCCCTGAAAATTGCTCTGTCCCTCAGGGAAGTCGGATCCCCGGCTGCCTCTTCGTCTCTTCCTCCGCCGCCGCCTCTCCTTTTTCCCCCTGGCCCTACTCTCTCACCGACGTCGACGTCGACTCGAGCCACAACCGCGTCACGATGGCGGCTCCAATAGAATCGATTCGCTCCCTCCTCCTGGGCAACCCCGTCGCCGCTGCCATTGGCGATGCCCTCAACGCCTTTTCCGACCGCAGAGCAAAGCTCGGCCTGTCCAATCCCGGCAACATGGAGAACTTGTCCAAGGAGGTCCAGCGCGATGTTATGCTCAACAACTACATGTTCACCGGCATCCGCGCCGACTTGACCAAGATCTTCAGCATGGCGCCTCTCTTCCAGGTTTCACACCAGTTCGCCATGGGAGAGCGCATCAACCCCTACACATTCGCCGCCATGTACGGAACTGGCAAGGTTTGTATACCCCCGTCCCTAGGCGCCGTGAACCTGCAGGAACAAAGCGGACAGATTAACCCTCTTCTTCCTCCTTCTCTCCACAGGTGTTTTGCCAAGGCAACCTAGATAATGAGGGCTCTCTATCCGGACGATTCAACTTCCGATGGACCGACAAGCTCGTGTCCAAGTCGCAGCTTTCCATCTCTCCCGGTGGCCAGGACATGGCTCAGTTCGAGCACGAATACAACGGCAACGACTTCAGCGCATCCCTCAAGATGCTCAACCCCTCATTTCTCGAGGGCGGCATGACGGGAATCTACATCGGAAGCTACTTGCAGTCCATCACCCCCCGGCTCGCTCTCGGCATGGAAACCCTGTGGCAGCGACCCGCCCTGACCCAGGGACCCGAATGCGCCGTGTCTTACTGTGCCCGATACAAGGCTGACGACTGGATTGCCACTGCTCAATTGCAAACCGCCATGGGAACCCTCAACACCTCATACTGGCGAAGGCTTTCCGACAAGGTCCAGGCCGGTGTGGACCTGAGCCTCGGCCTCGTCCCCAGCCCCGGCGGCCTGCTGGGCGGTGGTCTGCAAAAGGAGGGCGTCACCACCATTGGCGCCAAGTACGACTTCCGCATGTCCACTTTCCGCGCCCAGGTCGACTCCAAAGGCAAGCTGAGCTGCTTGCTGGAGAAGCGTGTTGCGCCCCCCGTTATGATGACCTTTGCCGCCGACATTGACCACTTCACGGTTCGTCTGGCCCCCCCACCCCCCCCGAATGCTCCTCACACAAGATTGACACCTAAGCTCTACAGCAACAAGCCAAGATCGGCCTGGGTGTCTCCATCGAGGCCGCTCCCGAGGAGCTCCAAGACCAGCAGGAAGCCCTCGGCGCCCAGACCGCTCCCAACATCCCCTTCTAACCTGGTTTCTCTCAACCCCCCGGCCCCCGTCTCCGATGAACCCCGTCCCGTCCCGTCCCGTCCCGTCGCAGACACCCTTCCCTACTCCTACCTAATCAGATGCGAAGAGCAGCCAACGCCACCAATGCTATCGCGGATGCAATAACACGGCAACCCACCCGTTTAGATGATCCCCGACCTCATTCATTGGCCTATTGCCTATCCTTCCTCAATCATGCAACAACACGTCCCACCTTGGAAGCGGTAGCGTGACAAGTGCGCTTTCAAAACGGGATGGGGACCCCTCGACGGAGTAGTACCCGAAGACTCGGAAAAACTTTAACAATAGAACGCCATGAAAGCGGCTGGCGTATGATTACAGGGCTTCTGTAACTGTGTGTACATTATGTCATGGGAGGCGCAACGTCTCATGCCTCGATTTAGTTGGTGCATTGGTCCGGCAGGCAATTCGCCGCCTCGACATCGTGAGGTGGCGGATCATCTATTACATTTTTTCAAAGTCCTCTTGTTTACCTGGGCGCATGCTCGGGCTACGCGGTATGTAGCTTTTGACATGCGGGTGCCATGTTTTCACCGTATAGGGAAGAAGAGAAAAAATATAGACTCCAGTGTTCTGTGGATGTTTTGCTGTTCCTGCTATGCTATAGGTCTGCGAGAGTCTGGCGCGCTGGCCTGTAAAACGCCTGGTATTTTTACGTTAAAGAGAAAACAGAGGTCCAAAGTCGCCCCGTCCGATGGATTCCTCCTCTTGCTTCTTCCAAGTACTGTTCTGCCGTGCCGCATCGCTTGATAATGCCTCGTATCAGGCGTGAATCACATGACTGTGCATTCTCGCTCGGGCTGGTCCCCAGTCTTGTGCTTTTCTGCCTTTTCTTTATCCTTGGCCTTTCCGCGATGCTTGTGTTTCTGGGTCTGTGGCGGAACGTAATGCCTGTCTCCGTCGACAGGGGAATCAAGGCCCTTGGCTGAGGTTTCAGAAGTTGGCCCTGTAGAGTTGGAAACGGAGAGTTGCAATCCGTTGGACGCGGGCGGCTCGATGAGCGGCTCCTTGCTGGCCTTCATGAGCCCGCTCAAACGGGCCATGGAGAAACTGATTCGCCCCTCGCCGGACTGGCTCGGTGGCCGACTCTGTCGACCTAGCGTGAAGCGGGACGCAGCGCGGGATAATCTTGAGACGGCAGACTCGTCGCTGGGCGTCATGACGGGCGAAGCGCCACCGGGCGTGACGGCCGGTGACTCTGTGTTGGCCATGCTTTCGCGGCGGGAGGCGTTGGGCGTAGAGCCCGTGTGGGATGTGACCCAAGGAGGATCAAGCGTTTCTCTGGCCGGCCGATCCATGTCCGCGGATAGTCGAATACTGGGAGGTTTACTCCTTTGACCGAGGTCGACCCTGTGGAGATCGTCCCTGTGGTTTCCCGGCAAGCGGCCGAATGCAGAAGACGACAAGTCGCCGTTCGGCTCCATGCTGGTTTTGGATTCACTATACGACGGAGGATCTGTCTCCGTGCCTTCTGTTGACGCGCGGGGCATGTCGACCATGGGGACAATTTGGTAGAATAGGAGGTAGGGCATCTCGTTCTTCAACGCCTGCTTGATATCATCGACGTAGGTGATGCGGCTTTGCGTCTCGAGATCATCAAACTTCACCCACTGCGCCTCCTCGTAATCCGGGGGAGGGTCGAAATTGTGCCGTCGATTTCCAGTCAGGAGTTTGGGGGCAACTCGCGCAAAGGATATGTAGTGGCCGCTATGGAGCGAGTCCCCTCGATGGCAGACCACGGACTGAAGCACGAGTTTGTATTCAGTGCTCAGGCCATAGAGGTCTTCCTCCAACTTGGGACCACCGACAAGCATGAAATGTGGCAAGCGTAGACTGTCGGGAACGTCAACAAAAGTGTTTTGTCGCTGTGGTTGCCCAGCTTCTGTCATGGCATAGCGTTTGAGGCAGATGCCAACCACTGGTCTCTGGTCGAAATTCAAGGCCACCTCGGAGTCGCTTCTGGGCTCGTTAGGCGTCAAAGCATGCCACGCTGTGGGGTGTTAGTTTGAGAGAGTGTCTATGCATGCATGCCGACAGGGTATCCAGACTTACGAATGAGCCGGAAGAACTGCCATGCAGGAATTGTGACAGCCTTGACGACGGTTGAACCATTGCGCCTGGCGCGGTTTTTCATGACTTCGCTCTCGGTGCCTGTGGGCCGGCCGTCTTCGTCCACCACGACACGCTGAATAACGCTGGTAGATCTCATCCGGGCACTGGAACTGGTGGATGAGCCGCCCTCCGCACATCGGTTCTCGAGTGACGGACCGCCTTGGGGATGGACACGATGAATGCTATGCGACGCCAACGCCCCGGAGGACGTTGCCAAGGGGTCGCCGACAGATTGCTGTGACGGTGTCATGTCAGCCGGCGAGGCACTCGAGCATGATGCGCCCGCTTCTTCTGAGCGAATGAGCCGGACCTGGTTCTGGTTCAGGAGCGGCGACGCATCCCCCCTATCGTCCATGGTGACCTTTGCTTCTTCATGATCTCGAGAAACGTCCACTCTGGCATTGAAGTATTCCTCCAGGCAGTCCTCCAAGTCAATTCCCTTACCCCCGGGATCCGGGGGAATAGCCAGATTCAATAACCGTTCGTATACCACCTTGTGATCGTCCTTGTCACCTTTGCCTTGGTGGAATAGGTCGACCTGCAATGACAAGAGGGGAAGCTGCAAGGTTTCGGTGAGAAAAGCAAAGGCCTCGGAAGTATCCTGCTGTTCCAAAAGTTTGGCATCGGGCCAACCGCAATCGCTCAGTGTTTCTTGGATCAATTTTGTCTTGAAATGAATCAGTCACTTTGCTGGGTGGCAACGGGCCCGTGGCTAATCGGACGCGGCGCTTGGATGCACTCACCAGATCGGTGTGAATGAGCTTCCCGGATCGCAACATGTTGACCCATATACGCAGCAATGTGGCGAGCTTCCGTCTCGCGTCATCTGCTGGGAAGGTTGACTTGAGCATACACTCAAAGGCGTCGAGTTTGGCGAACATGGCGAAGAGCAGCGAATCTAGGTAGCATGTGACGTTGCATCGGTTCTCAGCACCAAGCATGTGCACGGTGGGATCGTAGGGGAAAATGATGCCCGAAGCGGACTCTTGTTCCAGCCTGATAAAATCGGCCGTCTGCTCGGGGTCGTCTTGAGCAAGGTTTGTCGACATGATGTCCCTGATATAATCGGCCGTGACGTTTGATATGTGCATTTTCTCTAGGTGGTGCTGGACAAGTTCAATCTGCAGTGTAATTGCGACCATCAGCAGCCGGTCAAACGAGAGGGGCGGCCCTTTGTATTGCTTGCTTGGCGGTGCAGTCCAACCTTGCTGGGATTGGGGCCGTTGTCGTCGGCGTCGGATTTCAAGTTTTGCTTGTGGCCGTCCATCTTGAACATGGCTCGGAAAGCATCTCCGGAGAGCGGGCGGGCCTGGGAATTTGGGCATGGTTAGTATCCGGCCATGAAACGCAACCAGGCAGCAGCAGCGGTAGCAGCTGTGTCGGGGGACACCCGAATGTCTTGGATTGAGAACAATAGCATTCAAGGCCAACGAACCCCACCGGGCACAAGAGTCAAGGGCAAGATGGAGGAGGGCCATCCGTCTGTGTCTGTCGAGTTGTCATGTAGCCGTACCTTGTCCTTGTCCTTGTGTCCCGCCGGGACGGACTTGCTTCGACGGTGGATTGCATTCTTGTCGCGCAAGCTGAGAAACTTTCGAGGGAATTCTTTCATGGTGGGAGGATGTCGCGGAGTGCTTGAGACCCGGGGGCCCCGACCAGGACCACGACCAGGACCACGACCACGGCAGCACAAGGAGAGACGGACGTCTGCGGATGGGAGGGGGAAAAGTGTTCAGGCGACGCAGCGGCCTCGCATTGGGGTTAGCGAGACAGCAACGAGGTTGTATCTCCCATTTCAAGCTGCCGAGGAAGCTTTCTCGAAGTTGCTGGGGCGCGGGGGCCGTCGAGGACTCGTCAGAGGAGCTCGGAGCAGACGGACGGAATGCAGACGACGGGTGGCAGGAGGAGGAGGAGGAAGAGAGAGGAGCAAGGATGATGAATCAACAAAGCCAGGGTGAAAAAAGATAAGTCGCTGCCTGGACGGTTGCGAGGCGAGGCGAGGCGAGACGTGACGAGACAGAAGCGCTCTCTTGGCCTTGGACATTTTATTTGGAGCTGGTCTACGGAGTAGTCTGGAATGTCGGGCACCAGGCACCAGGGTTCAGTCACGAGCGCCATAGTGCGTGCCCGCACGTGTGGTGACGGGCAACATTGGACACTGAACATTCAATGGGAAACAGGGCACTGCGCCTGTGGGTACTGGCCTAACCCTGTCCGAACATGGGACATCGGGAGGCATATCTGGAGGCATATCTGGAGGCTTCCATGGCCCGCCGGTGGCTTAGCGGGGGTCGACTGGCGAGCACTGTGAGGCGCCGACGTTCTTGCTTGCGTCACAGATGTGTCATGGAAAATCACACTGTGAAGGAAACTCGGCAGTACGGAAGGGCGGAGCGCGTAGACATGCCGGGTCCTTGGTATGCATGCCCGTACGAGTAAACTGTAAGTTGCAGTCAATGTGTCATCCCGAGACGCCAACAGTACCAAATTTTCCTTTAAAATGCAACCAGGCATCTCTCTTGCAATGCTGCAGCTGTGTTGTCGTCAGAGATATTTTGATGGTTTAGACGCAAACGCTCCGAGCTAGATGCTAGCTCCAGCATTAAATACACCCATGGACAAGTACTAACCACCTGTCAAGTCCGTACGGGGATTTCGCATGGGGCACCCGGGTCAAAATGCGGGACTCAATAAGGCTGATTCATGAAACACCCATCCGGGAGCCGCAGCACAGCCACACTTCGGCGACACGGTGGCTGACTGTCTAGCCGCCTCCATCCACTGTTGTTAGCCAAGTCAGTCGCTGCCGGGTAACTAACAAATTATTCACACGGAAACTTCCACCATCGTACCATGACGAGTGCGCTTCACAACCACGACCTCCAGGACTCCCCTTTTCTCCCACCATGTCTGGTGTGCACAAAGGCTCTCGCCTGCTGAAAACCCTAGGTCAAGGGCGTTTCCGCCCGGCGCCTGCACCATTGTGCGCGAGGAGTTTCTCATCGCCCCCCGAGGCCAAACCCACCCAGAATGACGACTTGAGCGATCTCGAGTCGACGACGACATTTACACCGGCCGCGCCCGACCAAGAGTCAATTGATGCCTTCAACCAAACCGAGTCGTTGGGCGCCAAGGGGAGGAGACTTCCCGGAAGTCGGTATGTCCCAGCCCTTGCGTGCAACAGTTGTCCGCTGCGCCACGAGATGGACAAGATAAACCAACTGACAGCCTCGACAGATACCAGTATCATCCTCCCAAGTACTATCGCGGTCCTCTCCATCCCGTCCAAACACCGCCAGCATCCGATCCCACGGCTCGAGATTTTGTTCCCGGCCCCTTCAGCTTCCCGCGGCTCAAGCACACCTACGACAGCACCATCGCCCCGGACCTGTTGACCATGACGTACCAGCACACTCCTCCGGGCACCGCGCCCGTTGTTTCGCAAAAGGGCACCCTGAGGCAGTGGGACGGCTCTTCTCCCTACCACAAGAACAGGCCCGCCCGAGGTCCCCGCGGCGGCGGCTCCTCCAGACTCGGCATACTCGAGCGCAACATCAACTGGAACAACATCCCCGAGATTGAGGCCGTCACCATCAACTCGTACGCCCCCAACGCCGCCCAGAACAAGGAGTATCTGCACGTAGCCCGTGCGGTGGTCCAGGCCATCAGCGGCGCTTACCCCCAGGTCACGACCGTCAAGCACCATGTGATCCATTGGGGTGTCCGCAAGGGCGACAAGGCCGGCTCCAAGGTGACGCTCCGCGGTGGTGCGGCCTATGAGTTTGTCGACAAGCTGGTGACGCTGGTCCTGCCCAAGATCAAGGACTGGCCGGGCATCAAGGCCTCTACCGGCGATGATTCGGGTAATTTGGCATTTGGCATGAAGCCAGAATGGATGGCTTACTTTCCCGAGATAGAGTTCAACTACGACGTAAGTTGACACTGAACGCTGCCCCTCGCCTGACGGGCCTAGGCCTACAGCATGCTGATTATCTCTGCGCAGATGTATCCCCCCAAGCTCGTGCCCGGATGCGACATCTTTATTCACACAACGGGCACGTCTGACCGGCAGGGACGCTTATTGATGGAGGCACTGGGATTCCCATTCTACGGCAAGGCTACCCGTTGATGCCGGGCTGTTGGAGCCAGCGCGCATTACCAAACTTGGAGAGAACTTTTGGAGAGAAGTTCAATGCGACATAGACGTGTATAATATAATTGTACCATGAAACTGAAAAAAAAAAAAAAGCCCTTGTAGCTTACTATTCCAAAAGCAGCCCGGCTCCCCATGTCCAAACAGTTGAGGTCTTATTCCTAGCAACGTCAATGTCTTGGAATGCCCACTATCGGACTGGCTGATGATGATACCTGCTGCAAGCTCTAGTTACGAAAAGGGGGTTTCCTCAACCTCTACACGCGGCCGGATTTGCATTCCTCGTCCCCGGGGACGAAATGCCCAAGAATAATTCTCCTCTTCAAGTTTGACCTTGGGTGACGTTGGCACCTCATGGATGGACGGACGGCAACGGGAACATACCAAGACAGAGAGAGGGAGAGTGCCATTATATTTTGGTGGGCTTTGACGTCCCCGGGGACGAAATGCCCAAGAATAATTCTCCTCTTCAAGTCTGACCTTGGGTGACGTTGGCTCCTCATGGATGGACGGACGGCAACGGGAACATACCAATAGAGAGAGAGGGAGAGTGCGCCATTATATTTTGATGGGCTTTGACCATGGCGGCCATTGTGGGCGAAGGAGCTGCAGGTCATGCAACTTCCGAGCACACTAAACTCTAGATATACACACAGTCACGCCGGGAGCTGGCCGTCAGGCTTTTCCACAACAGCAGGACCTTGATCTTGGGCCCAAGCGTAGCTGTATTCCCACCGTCTCTATACACTCTCCAACAAGTCCATAATGTCGTCATCAGCCCTGCCATGTGGCATGCTGTGTTTTTGTCAACGGCTCGACAAAGCCTGCCCTGGCGAGGCGACTGAGCCCACGCAACACCTCGCATGTAGCTTTATATAGTTAGATAGATATGTATCCCCAACGCCGTCCTGCCCCGAACCAGGGGAACCCAGTTAGTGTAATAAATGCTCCAGACACCTTCCGCGCCCTCTACGCACCCTTGATCTTCTCCCTCAAGGCGCCAATGACAGCATCCACGGCGTCCATGTCAAAGGCGTCGATCTTGACACCGTCCCCCACGCCCCTCCTGCCCAGTTCCTCCACAAAAACGTCCATGGCGGGCTGGTAATTCCTGCACGCCGAGCTCAGCGCGTAGACGGCCTTCCTCCTCACGTCCTCGGCCTCGCCGGCGCCGCCGAGCGCCAACGCGACCAGCGTCGGCAGCCCGGCGTCCCCCATGGCCACCAGCCTCTCCTGCGTCTTCTCGTTGTTCTGCACCGCCGTGCCCACGCACCAGGCCGCCATCTTCTTGACCTCGCCCTCGTCGTGCTTGAGCTGCGCGAGCAGCGGGCCCCACAGGCCCAGGCTGGCCATGTTGTTCGCGTTGTCGAGCGACTCGATGAGCTGCTCCAGGTTTTCCCACGCGATGAGCTTGTTGTCCATGCTGACCTCGGCGTCGGGCGCCGTGATGAGCTCCATGGATGCCTTCATGAGGTCTGCGTCCGAGGGCCCGCCCATGAGGGCCGCCATCATTTCCGGCGTCACTTGCGACTGCGACTCGGGCGACTCGTTGTTGACGGTCGCGTCCGAGTGCGCGACGGACCAGCGGAGGAACTCGGTTAGACGGGGGTCTTGTGCCATTTTCTGCGTCGTCCGGATGGCGGAGCGCGTAGTCGAGCTGGAGGAGCGAGGTGTGATGACTTGTGACGATAGGTGACGGGATGGGCGAGGATATTTGACAAGAGGGCCGTGACGGTTGAGGCTTTTGGTGTTTTTTCTTCCCCTCGGATGCACGAAGCCCATTCTGGAAGATTCATGAAGCGGCTAGTCTGGGTGGGGCGTCGTGGGACCTGAGGCATCTGGCGGCCAATGGTGGGCCGGGACCGAATGAGGGCTGGATCGGACCATGAGCATGTGATTGTGTTTGTGCTGTATTGCCTCACCGGCCAGCCTGCTTCCTGGATATAAGACAACTGTCTAGGCATCCAAGGACATATTTACTTAAGCATGTATCAATTACGGGCGATATCACCTGACCGCTTGGCCCGAGTCGCTGATGCGGCGAAGCTAGGGAGGAAAAAAAAAGACCCGGCTGTATCTACCCCGCCATGCCCCTCCCTGCTGAACCTGGACCTGAATCCCGGGTGCCTGCGCCGTAACTACTCCGTGCTACCATGTACCTGTACATTGTGACGCAGACAGCGCGGTTACGTACCTGTGGTAGGCTGTGGAGCGGGGCTGGATTGTGAGACGACGCGGGCGGGGCTCGTTGAGCCTGATGTTCTCATGTCTATCCTCCCGGAGGACGCGGGCATCTACGTGCCTCATCTTGGCAGGGCTTTGGAGGCACATGTCAGCACTGTACTACGGCCTGGGCTGGAAGCTGCAAGTGCAATTGCGTGGATTGACGAGAGAATTTCCAGCATAACGCAAGGTCAAGGCAGCGGCGTCAACACCTTCCGCCTGATGCAAAGCAACGCAGTAGCACGAGTTGAATCGCGTTACGGCGTGATTACGCGTATCCCCGCCTCTGCTGGCGATGCTGACGACGACGCCCCCCAAATGGTCGTCAAGCTGGGTTTGAAGTGGTCCCCCAGTCTGGTCTTGTGGGTTTTGTTCCAGGCTCAGTTTCGGTGGTTTCTGCGTGCGGCAGCATTGTATTTACTGGTGCGACGGGTATATCTTGAGGTTGACTCATGGATGGGCGACATCCACATCATGTTGGCTGTGAGTTGTGCTCGGCGTGTCAACTCGGCGTACTCTTGTGCACCTCGAGTTGCTTTCCCCGTAAGCGCCATGCCATCTTTCGGGATATCGGGCCTCTCCAACGGCTCCCCAACTTTGCATGACTTATCAAACCCGCGCGACGTAATGTAAATGTCGTGAGCTGCGTGAACGGTCGATCGACGGTGGATAAAACGGTGGATGGTCGACACAAGGGCGTGTGGCTGAGCGTTGGGGATGGGCGTTCGAGGACGAGAGACGAGGAGTAAGGAATTCTCTGGCCTTGCTCAGAACCAGAACTGGCCGACGTGTGGGACGGCCACGCGAGGTGGCCCGAGGTGGTGTCAAGCGGTGTCAGGCAGCCGTGCCATGGATTGTTGTCAGGAATCAGGAGTCAGGCTGCAATAGTTGGTCGCACGGAGGCACAAAGGAGGACGGAAAAAGAAAAAAGAAAAAAGGCTGGGGGCCCGGGAGCTGTTGGTAGAGCCGGCGCACGCGTAATATCCGACTTGAATGTGCGTACACTGGCAGCGAGGACGAAGTCATTCTCGAGCAGCGTCGGAAAGCGACAATGGAGGCTCCCAACCCAGCCCCAGCCACCACCTCCAGCCAATCATGGACCTGTTTCAGCGGCAGCCCGCTGGTCAGGGCGCTCAGGGGAGCCTTGGAACCGCTCGCTCCAGCTGGTACCAGCGACGGCTACTGGTCGATTGGCGCTGATGGATGGTCTCGGCTGCTGGTGGAGAAAGCGCTGGAGCTACCAGACAGGTATTACGGAGCATTTATTTCAGTTGACCTTGCTCCGTAAGCACACGGCCGCCAGGCGCCAGGCTCCAGGCTCCAGGCTGCAGGCCGCACGCTCCGGGCTCCGGGCTGCCCTCCTTTCCCCCCTCGTCAACTGCTCCTCCACTTAACATCAATTCATGCCCACTCTTCCTCCTTCTTCAACCTCACACCCCCGGTTGCCACCAAATCTTTCCGCTACCCAGTCCCCTTGCCGATTCTTCCTCATCACTTGCTTCGTCACTTGCGAATCCTCCTGCATCTCGTGAGCCTCATCCATACACGCTCAATATCTTTGCCTCGTCCGCTCTTGTACTAAACTGTGCCTTTTTCTTCTTCTCTTGTGCACAAACAGCTTTCTGCTCTAACTAGCCACAATGGAGGGTACGTCGCACGCAACTACTCAACCCCTTCTCGAGACGCTGCAATGCTGCAGTCCCGAGGCCCTGGATCTCGGGGGCATTGGTCTCGTTGCTGACAATTCTCCCTCATACAGAAGAAGTTGCCGCTCTCGTCATCGACAATGGGTAAGCTCTGCTGTGCTCTGCCATCCATTCCATAGCCGTCTCCCTCTGCCACCCCCGCTCCCTCACCGACCTCTCGAGCGATGTACCTCTCCTCCACGCAAACATGTTGAGCAACACCGGCGCCGACGCGCCGCTTGGTCCATCGCATCCAGAGGAGCGGAATGGCTCTTTTCGACCGAACCATCAGGCTGACCCCATGGCAGTTCGGGCATGTGCAAGGCCGGTTTCGCCGGTGACGACGCTCCCCGAGCTGTTTTCCGTGAGTACCCCACTTCCAACCCTATCGGCTCTCGGGGCTCCTGGGTGCTCTTTGATGGGAGCTCTTGTTGAACGGCGCGCAACCGTCGCTCTCCCCGTCATAATGGCGTCGAATATGCTAATGTCCCCGCGACAGCTTCCATCGTCGGCCGCCCCCGTCACCATGGGTGAGTTCTCCCCTCCCAAAGCTTGGTTGGTTTTCGCGTTGCCATTGGATGCGCATTACGCTCGACACCATATCTCGGAAATGGGTTGACTGACAGCGGTGTTGCAGCATCATGATTGGTATGGGCCAGAAGGACTCCTACGTCGGTGACGAGGCTCAGTCCAAGCGTGGCATCCTCACCCTGCGATACCCCATTGAGCACGGCGTCGTCACAAACTGGGACGACATGGAGAAGATTTGGCATCACACCTTCTACAACGAGCTGCGTGTTGCTCCTGAGGAGCATCCTGTCTTGCTGACCGAGGCTCCCATCAACCCCAAGTCCAACCGTGAGAAGATGACCCAGATCGTTTTCGAGACCTTCAACGCTCCCGCTTTCTACGTCTCCATCCAGGCCGTCCTGTCCCTTTACGCGTCTGGTCGTACCACCGGTATCGTCCTCGACTCGGGTGATGGCGTCACCCACGTCGTCCCCATCTATGAGGGATTCGCTCTTCCTCATGCCATTGCTCGTGTCGACATGGCTGGCCGGGACCTCACCGACTACCTGATGAAGATCCTCGCTGAGCGTGGCTACGCCTTCTCCACCACTGCCGAGCGCGAAATTGTTCGTGACATCAAGGAGAAGCTCTGCTACGTCGCCCTCGACTTTGAGCAGGAGATCCAGACTGCATCTCAGAGTTCCAGTCTCGAGAAATCGTACGAGCTTCCCGATGGCCAGGTCATCACCATTGGTAACGAGCGATTCCGTGCCCCCGAGGCGCTGTTCCAGCCTTCCGTCCTTGGTCTCGAGTCTGGCGGTATCCACGTCACCACTTTCAACTCCATCATGAAGTGCGACGTCGATGTCCGAAAGGATCTGTATGGAAACATTGTCATGGTACGCATCGAAAAAAAATCATGTCAAATGTACACCCGAGCTAACGTTGCCCTAGTCTGGCGGTACCACCATGTACCCCGGTCTCTCCGACCGTATGCAGAAGGAAATCACTGCCCTCGCTCCCTCTTCCATGAAGGTCAAGATCATTGCTCCGCCGGAGCGAAAGTACTCTGTCTGGATCGGTGGTTCTATTCTGGCTTCCCTGTCTACTTTCCAGCAAATGTGGATCTCGAAGCAGGAGTACGACGAGAGCGGCCCCTCAATTGTCCACCGCAAGTGCTTCTAAGGTGTGCGCAGACGACTATTTTTGTTTCCTGAGACACGGGGGCAAAGGACAGCGCTAACTCCAATTTCTCTTTTCTTTCAGTCACGTCAGAAGCAAAACACCCCCCGCCCTTCACCAACTCACGCCAAGATCACGGAGGTGGCGGCCGATGCAGAGTCTTGTCGGCCTTGCGAACTCTCGGTTCGGTGTCATATTTACGAAAAGTTTCTGATAGGGTTAAGGAGGCGGGCCATGTCTTTTCTCCGATGAGGATTGGCGGGCCTTGTGTTGTAGCCGGATGGGTAATACCGGGCCTAGTGGTGGAGCTGAGGTTGACCAAAACCAGTACTTTATTTTGCTTTCCGTTGTAGACTCGTTTTAAATGGAAGAATGTAACGATGTCAAAAGCAGAGATTTTACGTTTGTGATTGCACACGAGACTTGACGAGACTTGCGAGTATAATCAGGTCACGGCTGTCTATTTCGATGGGGAGGCTCAGTATTCTCCATGACGGGCTCTTGCGGAGTCTGACCAGAGCCGTGGGGCTTGTGCGGTGGCTGCTCGGGCTCAGGCTGCTCGTCGTGGTGTTTTGCAGCCTCACCCTGGGGGTCCAGCTTCCTGTACTTGCGGCGGCTCTTCTTGGCCGCGCTGGCGGCCTTTTTCCTCCGGACCTCGCCGACTATGCTTGAACGACTCTGGTCGCCGTGGAGCAAGTCGTCCAGCTTCTGGGCGAGCAGTTCGCGGGCGTGTTTGCGATTCTGGCTCCTGGACCGGGTGGCTTGGGACTTGACCACTATGCCTGTCGGGATGTGTTTTAGCTGGACGGCCGAGTTGGTCTTGTTCTGTGACGGGGGTCGTGGTTAGGACTCGGAGTGCGAGATGACCTTTGGGAGGGGGGGTTTGTTTCTTGTCTATTTGTATTTTGTATTTTGTATTTCCCTTTTTCTTTTTCTTTTTCTTTTTCTTTCTGTTGTCCTTTCTTCTTCCTCGAGCTGCGCAAGGAGGGTTTATTCTACGTACAATCTTCTGGCCGCCGGGGCCGGAGCCCTTGAGGAAGGACTCTTGGATGTCGGCGTCTGGCGGAGGCCTGGGGCGCGGAGGGAGGGGCTTGGACCGCAGGGCCGGGAGGGTGGATAGCCGTGCGGTGAGAAGGCATGCTGTCGGGAGGAGGCACAGCGGGCGGCGGAACATGGCGGTGGTGATGATGGTCTGTTTGTCGCGCGAGGCGGATGGGAGGTGACGGAAGTCGATGGGCGGGTGGGGCCGTGCGTCTGCTCTTATTTGAACCCGCCCCTGGCCTGTGTGTGTGGGGGCTGGCTTCATTCAGGCTTCAGACTTCAGGCTTCAGGGACGGACCGACTGACTGACTGCACTGCATCCAATCTACTCAAGTATTTACTCTTGCTTGGCCGAGCACGCGCGCCCCGAGGCCTGCTTCGTCCTTGACCACGACTCGACTCGACTCGACTCGAAGCAAAACGAAACGAAGCGACCGACTTGGCTTGACTTTTCGCGGCGGCCGATCTTCTCCCCGTTCCTGCCTGGGGTGCGCGATGTCGGTGGCTGCCGAGTGCCAACGCTGGCTGCGGCGGAAGCAGTACACGTTCGAGGTGACGTTTGCGCTCAACATGTTTCGGTCGTGGGAGAAGTCTGTGATATGTGCGTCTGCCGTGGCTGCGTCCTCCTCCTCTCCTTCTCCTTCTCCTCCTTTTTGTTGGTGCTGTCGTTGTTGACTTTGCTGCCGTTGCCATTTTCCCCAAGTCTGCCGTCGTGAGCGCGATTGCAATGCCAGTACTGACGCCGGGCGAGCAGACTCGGTGCTTTTCCTGCTCTGCAGCATGACCTTTATCGCCGCGGTGCTCTACCTCCCGCACCACGTTACCATTCTGGCCGGCCGGGCGTGGTACTACATCAAGGGGGAGCACATCAATGTCGCTGCGTCGGCGCGCGAGGCAGTGCGCGACGTCGTGTCCAAGAGTGTGGCGGGCGAGGTGGCCCCTTCGGTCGAGGCGGTCGCGGGCGCCATCGCCAAGGAGCTGTGAGCGTGGAAAGGGGGCCGTGACGTGACGGGACGGCAGCGCGGGAGGGGAGCGCGAGGTGCGTTGCGAGGCTTGGAGGGACCGCCCGTTCATCTTCATCTACGGTACGGCGTTGATCTGGGTTTGCTTGCTGGGGCTGTGGACTCGGCGTGGGCTTTGTAGTGGTGCTTGTCAGTGTGTCGTCTTGTCCGTCTTGGATGCGGCGTGCTGGGGTGTCGTGTTGCAGAGGCCGGGGGCCCTGCGAGAGTCCCGAATGCCAACAATCTTGCTGCTGCCTGAGCCTCCGCCGTGGTGTGGTGTGTCGCGTGTCGAGGTGAAACCCGTGACGTTGCGACGCCTGGGTCGACTCGTTTTGGAGGAGACGACTGCGTCCAGGACGTGTGTATCAAAACCGACGCCCGCCCGGGCGACTGGCGGTGCGCTCGTCGCCATCAAAGAAGGCTTAGCTAGTCCCGGGGACCATGTGAAACGCAGACTTGTCGCCCCGGGCACCGTTCACGTGCTGTCATTCATCTCTGATACTCGCGGCGCTGGTTGGGGAACAATCACCAAGCGCCAGACTTGCATCTCCGCGTTGCTCCGTGAGCCGCCGACGTCTTGCAGAACCCCCCCCCGAGGTGTCATGTTGAAATTTCACCCACTACTCTTGGACAGATGGTTCTTCCGCTGCTGCATCCCCAGGGAGCGGAGATGAGGCGTCACGCCCCCCAGGTGATGAACCGCAGCTTGGGAATAGTTACGTGCCCTGTCAACGCCCGTCACCCGTAGAGCTGCTTCTCATCTGAGAATGACAACGGCCAGGACCATGGATCGTGGACATGCGGCCCAGTCATGTAATACGTAGTGTATGGCAGTGCCCCTGTCATCGCACGACACCCCTAGGCTGCATCCAGGCCCTGGACGACGGTTCGCCGGCAAGGCTATCTATCAACGACAACGTCGCCCATTCACCCACTCACACGATAGACATGGCAGCATCCCCGGCGAAGAGAATGCCCCAACATGGACTAGGACTGACTGGTTCAACACGGGGGTCGCCGCGCGTGTAGACGGACTTGTACATACTCCGAGCCGGAGTTGGAAACACCTGGACAAAAAAGTCGACACACTCGTTTCTTTTGCAGACGCATATACTTTTCCTACTTCAGTCTATTCACAGCGCTCGTAGATGGGATTCGTTCAAGGAGATCAACCTCAGAGAGCTGTCCTCGCCAGCCACTGCCAGCGTGTAGACAGACTCGTTGATTTCGCGCGTCGGCGGTCTCCAAGCCAGTTGGAGCACTGCCCTGGGAAGATTCAACCTGTCGAAAAGTCAGCCGTGGCCGCGGGACGTTTCGTCGGATGCTGCTTGTGTCGCTAGAAACCTACTCTGGTCGCGATGGCAATTCAGTCACTGCCTGGCCGTCTTCGCTTACCAAGCAGATGCCGACTTTGCCCGCCTCCGTTCCGACCGCCAACACGAGCTTTTCCCCGACCACGGTCGACAGGAAGTCGACAGATGTGACGGGGCCTCCGCAGGGGAAACTGGCGGTTTGAGTAAAGCGCAGCTTTCCAGCTTCTCCTGCCCGTGAGGACCAGATCCTGACCTGCTTGTCTCTGCCTGCCGTGGCGAAGAGAGGCGCCTGTGCTGGCGGTGCCCAGGCCGCGCCGAGGATCATTCTGCTGTGGCCCTTGGCGTTCGACTGGAGCAGCTGGTACATGGCGTCGATGTCCGTGTTTCGCTCAAAGACGGCCCACTGTCGGTCGCGCCCGACACTGAGGAGGTACTTGTCGTCGACTGAGAACCTGAGTCGAGTGGCTGTCAGAGAGTGTGCCACGAGCGGTGGTCGGATCTCTGTCCATTTCTCCGTCTCGAACAGTCGGATCACGGCGTGGTTCGTCGAGCTGGCTTTGCAGGCGCTGGCGATGAGTTTGCCGTCATGACTGGCCGCGAGGCACGAGATTTCGTAGCCGTGGCCGTAGAGCTTCTCGCTCTCCGGCCACAGGGTGTGCCTCGACAGCGTTTCTTCAAAGGGCGGGTGGTCGATTTCCAGGTACGACTTCCTGACCACCGAGGCGGGGTCCATCGCTTCTCGGTCACCGTCGTCGACGGGCTGTATTTCCTGGTCGTCGGCGACGGCGTCGATGGCCTTGTTGGAAAGTCCAAGGACGGGCATGTTTGCCGCATCTGGCATGTCTTGGACGTCTTCACGTCCAAAGCCTGCCAGCCTCCTGAGCAGTGTCGCGACCGCCTTGGGCTCGCTGAAGACTCTCATGAGCTTTTCATCGGCGCCAGAGACGAATCGAGAGTCCCCCAGTGAGTCGATGCAGTTCAAGTCGTATCCGTGAATCTGCGGCCGAGACATTTCATGCCAAGTGCCGGCGTCGGACGCCGTCCATCGTGTGTGCAATCGCGATGTCTGGTCGGAGCTGGTCGACAGGAGATAGTCGCCACCCTTGGCCCAAGAAATGCCAGTGACGGCTTTGGTGTGACCGGTGATGGAGACACATGGCTCCCACGTGTCGGTCGAGGAGTCGTGCTCCCACCGCCTCCAACTTCCAGTCCGGCCAAGACAGGCGACGGAGTCGCCAGACGGCGACCAAAGTCCGGTCCAGAAACCGCCAGCACTGCCCGTTGCTGTCGTGGCGCCCTTTTCCCTGCTGATCTCGCCTAGTCTTGCAATGCTCACCCAGATTCCGGAGGCAGGGTCAGCTTCCCAGATGGCCAGGGAGTTGTCGGCAGATGCTGAGAGAAGCTGCAGTTTGCCGTCAGCACGCGTTTTCCATCTTGCACTGTAAATCCAATCTTCGTGGCCCAGGAGAAGTGCCTCAAACGTCACACAAAACTCCTTGCCCGCTGTTTTCAGACGATGCGCCTTGTTTGAAGGGGACTTTCCGGGAACAAAGGCACCGCCGTAAGGGTCCGACCCAGGTGCTGCCAGAGCCGGTAGCTCCGGTCCGTGGTGAATCCTCCAAATACGAATGTACTTGTCTTGACTGGCTGATGCCAGGAGGAGATCGCCACCAGCTTCGCTTGTCTGCTTTGTGAAGCTCAAGGATCTCACCCAGCCTTCATGTCCAGATAAGGTCGCCTGCAGGCTAAAGTCGATGCGCGGAGAATTGAGGTCTGCCGTGAGAATCTGCACAGTCTCGCGCGTGCCGGCAGCTGCCAGAATGAGCACGTCGCCGTCAATGACGCTTAGAGAAAGAGCCAATGGGAAGAATTTCGGTGTTGTCTTTATCGACTGAAGTAGTTGCAGGTGGTCATTCTCAAAAGACCACATCTTTATTGTCGCGTCGGCAGCTCCAGTGGCGATGATCCATTTAGCTCGTTCATCTGCGACCCTGACGGCTGTGATGCAGTTCACAGGAGCAGCGTGTTCGGACGACGACCGGATAACCTGAAAGCTGTGGCCACCACCGGTTGACTTCCACAAGATGAGAGTCTCGTCATCAGAGCCTGACACGATGTAGGTCGACTCATCCTCGTCGTGTTGGGGAAGGAAAAGGACTGCTTTGACTGCTTCTTGGTGACTGCTTAAAATACGTTCAATCCCACGAGGCGGATAGGCCTTTTTGGAGTCAGTTTATGACGGCAACAAATCTCAAACCGTCAGGGTAGGGCGATTGTCGACAACTCACGGCCGGACGCCAGAGGGCAATGTTCACATCGGCGCCAAAAGCCAATAACCCATTCCTGCTCCAGTCAGCAACTGAAGCCTGCCTGTTCGCACCAGCAGACAGATATTCTTCCCAGAGCCCGTCGCCGTCCATGTCGACTGGCGTTCCTCGGCAGAGCATTCCACGCGAGTTCGAAAATTATGTCCATCGCGGGATCTGATTGGCTACGCAAGCTTGAATGGACGTTGGGTAGTTGGAGGCAGCAGCCGGCTTATCGATAAAGGCCCATCCGCACTAACAAAGTTTGCGCACGCAGCCATGCTTTTCTGCTAATGCTTGTTGCCAAGCTTGGTCCCTCAACTCCTCGCACCAATTTCCATCTCCCCAGCCGGGACGGAGTACCATCATCAACGCCCCGTCTCGAGCTTGTCAATGTTTTGCCGCAAGAAGAATGGCTACACCGGAAACTGCGCCGCCCGACGGGCAATTAAGTGTGGCCGTCGAATTTTCGTAAGTCCTCACTTTCTTCCCGCGCCGGACAACGGCGACCACAGCCGTGACGACGAGCCAGGGGCACAGTCCTTGCAACATGGCAACCCGCCCAATCGCTATCGAGATGACAAACCCGTCTGTCCCCGTCGAGATTCAGATCCATGCATCCCCCGTTCTCGGTCCTCCATCCATGACGATGCTAGAACATGGCTAACCATTGCGATTGCAGAGGAGGCCTAGAGATGCTCTTTGCTGACCAACGACACCATTCGCTGAGGCTGCCCATCAAGGACAAGGGGGGACAGCCAGCCAATATCGCTTTCCTGATCCATCATCTTTGCCAAAATGTCATGAATGACACACGCAAGGAACTCTTTGTGCTGGATGACCATCTGTACGTCGATTTTCAACTTTGTGTCTCATTCTCGCACGCCCCCTCTCCGTTGTGAGAAGTCATTTTCCATCCACAGTCCTGCCCGCTGCGGATGAAGGTGGGCGAAAAGGAGTGGATTTTCACAAGGAGAATTGCTCAAGTAGCTTTTCGGGTAAAAGTCTGCAGTATCTCATCTTGATTTTGTTTTTCTTTCTCCTTTCTGTGCTGCCCGTCATTGCCGTTTGTGCACATTCGAGTACCGCTAACCGGGCTGTTGGGCCACGGCAGCCGGCCGGGTATCCTAGTTCTCATCAACGACGCGGACTGGGAACTGGAAGGGGAAGAGTCTTATGAACTCAAGAGCGGCGATAACATACTCTTCGTGTCAACCTTGCATGGAGGCTAGCGCTATAGTCCGGATGTGGCTGGACCGTTCCCTGTTGGCGCAGCTAGAGCCATGAATGGAGCCTTTGAATGGAGCCTTTGAATGCCTGTAATCGACTGTTATACCCAAAATCATCATTTAAAAGCCGCTGTCAGTCGAAGCTTGGAGTGCTATTTGAATTCATCACCTCGTCATCAGCAAGGCCTCTCTCCGCAACGTCACGTTTGTCTCAGATGGAGAGGGGGTATCGCCTGGATCCCGGAACTCAGACCGCACTTGTTCTGTTCACATTGGTCAGCACCTGCTGCAGAGACTTGAAATTAACCTTCTTGCCTAGCCTCCCGTTTTTTTCGAAATGGCCAGTCAGTTTGGTTTTCTGTTCGCCCGACCGTCGTTGCTTCCCAAACGATCCGGGCCATGGTCACCCGCCGGCCGCGCAAAGACTACCGGGTTTCACACGCCTGTCTGAGACTCCAAGATACTCTCGGACGGGCAAGGAAGGACTTTGAAGACTATGTTATTTCTTGCCTTGGCGGAGCTTCCTGTCCGCCACTTCTGTCTTTGCGATTGATGTGGAGTGCAGACTGATAAGCTCAGCAAGGTTGGCGAGGCTGGGTGTTTGGTCTTGCAAACGAAAAGCATTGCACCTTTATGCGGACCGAGACGATTTCCGGGTGCGACATACATACACAAAGGTGCTTGGCCGAGCTCGTATTTGGCACTGTTGATCATCGCTAAGTAACCGACAGGCAGGGGCAGGGGTGTTATATCGTCCTGGAACAACACTCTCTGTAAAGCCAAGTCATCGTCCGACGGCGACGCACGATATTCACGCTTTCTCGTGATGGTGAGACTTGCAGCTGCTGCACCGCTGCACTGCTGCACGGGGTGCAAACGTCGTGAGCAGTGCTTTGTCATGGATGCAGCTTCCCCGATAGATCAAAACCCGAAGGATCCCCCCGTTCACAGGCGGTGAAATCGACCATGTTGCAATGCTCCCGCATGTCCCGAAATGACGGCTAGATCTGGTATACCCATGCAGACCGATCTTTTCGACAACCATGTCTAGCAGCACAAACGCCAGAAGCTTGCTTGTATGCAGGTCTGTCTGTATGTCTGTCTGTCTCGTCAACCCGCCCGGCCTGACTGACAGACACGGCTACCAAGACCTGCGCAACTCGCAGTCCAAGAGACGTCCGTCTTGAGATTGCCACATCTGCAAGTCTTGCTGGGCGCTCTCTTGATTCTTCCTGGCCATCCGCCGACATCGAGCCACCCTCACTCACCCTGCCCTGCCGACACGACACGCCTTCGCCTGCACTCTGTTCAAAAACAGTTGCCAGCGCATAACTAGCGGTCATGCCGCGACTTCACAAACACACAGAAGTCGAGATGGAAAAGCACCCTCAGCCCGCCCCCGAGCCCTTGTCCATGCAACTTGCCAGATGCAGAGTTGCGCCACACTCAACCGGACGAGCTGGAACTAACCCTGGCTCAACCCCAGCTCGACTCCGTCATCCGTCCTTCGTCATCTGTGGCCAGAACCACCTCGGGGAGGCCCGATGGTTGTTGAATGCCGTCTCCCTCCAACCTGCGTGGCGTTCCGTAAATAGTCGAAATTCTCCCCTCCTCCAAGTTCGGATGAACCACCTTGGCTGGCAATCTCCATCCCCTCCAGCACCACAAGTTGTGTTGCGAATCCCAATTGAGGGCACAGTCGTCCTCGTGCAGCGAAAGCAAGAAACATGGTCCAACTTTGCCTCGTCCCGACATCGCATAGCGGCCCCCCCCCCCCCTTTTCCCAAGCAACCAGGTTCGACCGCTCCCTATGCCACAGCATCGGGAGCGCAGCAGTACCACGACGACCAGTCGACCCATCAACCAGGAGCAGCACAACGCCCAGAGAGTCCTGTGTCCCTCCATGTCTTTTGGGCGGGCGGCCCGGGGCGGACCACGTCCCAAAGTTGCAGCTATACCGTACAACCACCACACGTACATGACTGGACGCCCTCTGGCTGCGTCGTCGCCAACCCGCAGGAAGTGTTGGGAAGCAAACCCGGTCCGCCGGAAAGAAACTCAAAATTGACAAATCGACGCAAGGAACATCCATGCTCCCGGTACACGGGAACCCCGTCCATGAATCTATGTACGGTTTGTTTATGTAGCTGCCTTTCCGGCCCTGGCTCGCTTGGCATCCATGACGGTGCTCCCCTGTCAACACCAATCCGGCTTGATAGAGGACGCACCTCTTGGCCGTCGTAAAGAGGCCTGAGCAAGACACCAGACCGCCGTGGGAGACGCCATCTGGACAATAAAAATCCTGCTCAGAGTCTCCCTGCATGGTGTCTGAGTGGAGCGGAGACGAGTGCCGGTTGTAGTGTATTGTACTTAAGTATGTTGTATGCACATGCAGTTCCTCGTACAGGGTACGATGGGCCTGAGCAGTCGACGATTCCCGTCGCAAAAGCCCTCAGATACGACAGGCATAATCGGACTTCTCATCCCGGCGCTTGATCCATGTTGCAAGCGAGCAAGCAATCAAAATAGATTATGGTGTTTTGTCTCGAGTGGGCATCCCCATTGCAGGAATAGCACCCAGAAACACTCTTGGCCCCCTTCCCCGCATGTGTACGAAGTAGCTCTTCGTAAATACCGACCATCATAGCACACTACAAACGGACACCCCATAGTGGTTGAACCGCGGATCCAGTTCATATTCATACATAGATAAATGGTAGTGACGTGCCAACAAGTCCAACAGGTGGTGGTATAATGATGCAATGGTAACAACTTGCCCAGGCAACCCAGAAGAAAAACAAAACGATTAGCCGCATCAACAAAACGTGTTTCAAACAACCTCTCCATACATAGCGGGAGGCGTATGAAAACTCCTCCAAAGCGAGTCGTTTCATTATCAAACGGTCAATTTCAAACCCAATATCCCAATGCTCCCGCAATGTAATAATACCCACACGATTTCTGTTCTCTGCAAAAATGCAGACACACTTGCCATACCCAATGCTTAGCTGAAAAAAAATAAGATGAAAAAAAAAAAAAAAAAAAAACTGGTTTGAAGGCTGCCGACCCTGCTTAGCTTTTTGGGAAATGGTGGAAACGAATTTCTCTATATAGGCCGCCCAGACTGATCCTCGTACAAGGATACTGCATTACATTATGCGTAAATGGTGAGGGGAAAACTGAATGGCGGATACCAGGCTGTTCCTTACAGCCATTATCAGTTGTATAAACAGGTTCATTTCAATCATAAGGGAACACCAGGGTGTTGAACAGCCTTGCGCAAGGTGCCGGTGTCCCATATGGGTTTTGTCGTGTCGTCGTGTAAGGAATTCGTGCTATTAGTACAGGCGGTTGGCAAAAGCCATCTGCCGGGCATGCTCGTCCTCGTAGAGCATACTGCTTGCCGCGTGGTCGTGCTCAGCCCCAAACACCCCGAAGCTTCGAGCAACATATCCCGGAGCCGAGTTGGACATGTGGGGATTCGAAAACTGGTTTGCCATAATGGGCACTGCAGGAGTACTCTGGTGAGGGTTGCCCTTGGGCTTCCTGACAGCAACAGTTCTGGCCTTGCCGCGTCCTTTGATGCCTTTATTGCTGTTCTTGTAGTGCTCTTTGAAGTACTCGAAAAGGTCCTGGTGCTCGTCCGGGACCTCGCCCTGTTGCACAAATCTGGCGAACATCGCGGTAAGGTCCTTGAGGGTTTCCCTGTGGAAGTTGTTCTGATGGGTCTTCATGTTACCGAGCTGAGAAAATGCTTTGTTGCAATCATCGAGCCTGCAGATAAAAGGCTTGAGGCCTTTGTGCGTTTCTTCGTGGGATCGGACATTTCCTCTCTGGGCAAACGTCTTGCCGCAGATGCTGCAAGAATATGGCTTTTCACCAGTGTGACGACGCATGTGAGTCTGGGAACAGGCCTTCGGTCAGCTTTAGTATTCCCCACCTCTGAGCGTAATATACTCACCTTCAGGTTTCCACGTTGGGAGAAGGTAAGTCCACAGTTGTCTTTGGTGCAGATGTAGGGCTTAAGGCCAGTATGGGTTCGGCGGTGGATGTCAAGGTGTGTCTTCTGAACGAATCGCTTGTTGCAATTTGGGCCGTCACAAACCCATTTCTTCTTTGGCTTGACTTCAGAGGCAGTCGTAGAAGCATGGCAAGAGTTTGCTGGGCTTTGGACATCCATAGATATCTCAGCTTTTGGTGTGTGGGCGGGGGTCAAGGTCTGCCCGGGCGCTTCATTGCTCGCTTCTTCTTTGGATTGAATTGCCTTCATGAGTTCGTCCACATCCGTCTCAAAGTTGATGCGATCAGCCGGGTTAATGGTCTCGTTGTATGTGATGGTCTTGGAGTTGGCGGTTGGGTTCGAGGTAGCTGAGGGTGCGACGGAAATGTTGGAGTCACTCCGGGCTGGGGAATGCAGGCGAGCATTACTCGTCTGTCTCGATGTTCGTCGAGATGAAGCCGCGCGCAAAGACTCAGAATCTGGTCCCATTGGAAGGGGGTGAGGGCGGTCTTGAAACTCGGGTTTAAAAGGCGATCCGACGGGAGTCGACGGCGGAGGGCTCTGATACGGCGCATACGTGGCGTAGGCGTTCTGAGCTTGGTAGTGAGCAGTGGTCATGGATGTCATTGGCGCCGAGCTGTATGAAGGAGGCACAACATATTGGGGCGGCATGGGCCTTGGCATCTGAGCTGAGTTTCCGCGAGAGTCATAGGGCATAAACGGCGCTTCCATGATGCCAAAATCGTGAGGAAGTTGCTGTGGCCACCGCCCCCAGTTGTGCGGAACAGCTGGTGTAGCCGTGAGAGCCATCGGACCGGTAGCAGGACAGTATCGTAACGCAACAAGACTGGTAGGCTGGGAGGGAAAGGTGAGAGTAGCCGGTATGACTTCCAGTAGCTATAGCGGAAAACGAGCTCCCAATGAGACTGAGAGTATTTTGCCCGGCTTGCCTTGACGAAGACAATAGTTGGTGACAACAAGGCTCTGTAATGACGAAATCCAAGCGGCAAGGGAAAGGGGCATGATATATAAGTCTGAGAGTGATGAGGTTCAGAGAGGGGTCTGAGAGCTCTGCTGGGGAAAGGGGGGTGTCCTATGTAGTTGAGGTCAACGGAGGCTAGCACTACTTGTATCTTGCTAAACGACGTTCAGATGGAGGAGACGAGTTACAACAGCCTAGGCGTGGGTCCGACTGGTCGGGACATGGCAAGATCTTGGCTTCAAAATGGCTGCATAGATGCGGCCCCAAAAGCTGGTCCTCTAGCACAGCAGCTTGATATCCCAGCCATCAGGGGTCTGAAATGGCCCCATGGGGGCGTATCGTTCCGTGTACACGCCAGGCTGAGAGGTCAAACAACCCCCGTCTCCCCACATAGCGGGTAGGAGACGCTACCGGCCGGAGGGAGGGGTGTGTGAGTCAAGTCGGGCGCAAGAGAGTCTGAAGGGGTCGGCCTGGTCCGGATGCAAGGTGATGATGGGTGGCCTGGGGCGTGTGTCGAGAAGGAGCCGCTGCTAGGAGGGGAGAGAACGGCGAGCAGGGCATGTTTAGATGAGCAACAGGAGCTTGAGCCCAGCTGGAAGACAAGGCTGGGAGCCTGCGACAAGGGCTCGGCGGAGCACTCGGGTGCGGGATGATATGGGGCCGCTTGCGCTTCAAGTGCGCAGACGACGTTACTCTGTGCTCTGCAATACTCCGTACTCCGTATGTACAATAGATAGAGTGACAGGGTGATGGGTTGACAGGGCATTGGACGAACTCCGTGTTGCGCCTTCAAGTCACTTGAGTGCTTGCTTGACCAAGCCAGAATGTAAACGCGGCTCAGAGTCAGAGCCGAGAGGGACGAAGGACACAATACTTCCGAGTCCCGACCCGTCGCTCAAGGATGCTCCATACTCTGTCAATCTCCAACTTGACGTGATTTCTGGCGCTTCCCGGACAATCACGCGCTATCGTCAGATGGCTCAGAGATAGTTGCAGCCAGCTCGTCGTTTGGCCGCTCCCTGAAATCGCCGTTTGGCTTGGGTGGTGCCTCGAAATTCCTTTCGTCCAGTAAGGAGTGGCTAGCATGTGTCCCGTCAGGGCGGCGGCCGCTGTTGCAACAGGAGCAGGGCCTTGGTAGTAGGTTCTTGGTCTGTTGGCACAAGCAGCCGTTAAGACCACAGAAGTCGCATATTCTGCGTGTGGAGTGCGGATGGATGCATACTTGCGGCACTCCGTACGCATACATATGTGCATGCGCAAGCTTCGAAATGCAGTGAGACATGGAGCACATGGAGCGGCAACCGAATTGGCCACTGGAACATCGACACGACTGGCCATGCCAACCGGTACGTGTCCAAGTCCATTGGGAACCTGGGATAACAAGACCGGGCCCACGGCTTTGGCCGTTGATCAAATTCAAGTCAGCACGATTGGCGGGCGCGCCATGAAGAGGCTGAGCGCAGAGCGCACTACTCTCTGGAAGGCGTGGGCGAGCTGGCATCGAGACCAATCGAGCTGGAACGAACTGGGCCACGCAACGATTTAATCTCGGCAGAGGTGGTCGTAATACTGGTTCGTGTGTGCGTAGTGTTTGGGTAATTATTGAGTGTTCAAGGCTTGAACAGTCGGGCTTCTTGAGATAATGCTCGACAGCCCCATGGAGAACTTGACCGCTTTGACAAGGTGCAGAATGTCGACGACCTTGAACTGCAGATGGCCTACCGATGTCGTCAGATGATGATGAAGCCGCAAAACGTTGCAAACCAGCAACTGTCTAGGTACCTACCTAGGGCCTAGGTACGGCGCACTCAAGGGAGTTGCTGGCGTCATGCTAGGACAGACACGTCCGGGACTTGATTGTTTCCGATGGCGCATCTCGGACAGGTTAGATGGAATTAACTGGATAAATATTGGGGGACCTGAATCGGCGTATGCACTCTGACTGTCTCGAGTGATTCCAGTCATGGCATCAGCACTCGGTATGTCTAGCTCGCTGTTTGGGCCCGAATGTGCGAGATGTGGTGGCGAGACCAACATGGGAGCGCCATCAATGGTCCCGCGCTCGATGGCCTGGCACTGTGGTTGAGTGTGGTAATTAATTTACCTCGTGCTCCGTAATTGCTTGATGTCGGCACTCCCACACTCCGCAGATAGGGCCCGAACATGAATGGTTGAATGGTTGGTGCGGAGCAGACGGCTGCAGACAGCTGCAGACAGCTGCAGACAGGCGCGGGCAGCTGCAACAATCTTTGTTGCCAGTGCCAGAGCCAGTGCCAGAGCCAGTGCCAGAGCCGGTGCCAGAGCCAGAGCCAGTGCCAGTCAGTGCCTGCCCGCCGGTCTGGTTGGCTGCTCGCCTCCCCTTTCATCGCATCGCAGCCCGAATCTCGTCCGACGCAACCGCAACCTCGACTTTGGGACCATTTGAGGCCCTTTCCAAACAGAGTGGAGGTTGGTCAATCATGCAATGCCAGCTCGCACATGTTGATCAGGTAGTTAGTACCTGCAAGTACTCGCTCACTCAGATCACTGGCAGGTGTACTCGGCGCAACCTGGCCTGGCTTCCGCTGAACTGGCTGCCACTAGGCGAGGGGCGAGAACGGCCCTGGTCACCGGCTGCCTTCCTGCCAGGGTCGCGCCCGCCCTAAATCGGCTGGTGGCTGCTCGGCTAGGCTAGGGTCGGTCCCGCGAGAGCGCTAGGCCAGGGATGCCTGCCCATCATTCAATCCACCCACATGTGCAGTCATCAATTCATCGAGCCCGTGCTATCCAACTCCTTCTACTCCTTCTCCACCCTCTTGGCTCTGCCCTACTCCCACCGCCATCACCACCGCGGCTTCGAGGCCATACGCTCCAGTCGTCGAGCCCGTCCATCCGAAATTGTCCTGCATTTGTTGTGTTGTGTGTGTGCTGCGGGCGCTCTGTGGCTAGTAAGTCAGTGGCTGCCAGTCGCGACAATGAACACGCCAAAGTTCCCTGCTGACCATCCCTAGGTGATGGGCCCTACCGAACGAACGTACTCCGTATGATTTTTTTACGGGTATGGAATGTGGCCCTACAGCCACCGGCACGCCGTGTCGTACGCAGCGTACACTTCCGTACGGAGGAGTCTTATGGAGACAGCCATCAATGCTGGTCTAACAAACCCTTTCAGCTGGATGAGGCGAACCAAGCATCGCCGCTCTTGCACAAAATTACTTCCACACGCCATTTTTGCCCCCCTATGCGAGTCTCAGCTTTGTGTTGGCGACCTGTCCCACTTTCAACTTCGTAGTGGTTCCCTGTCATCGCTGATGCTCCGCCTTTTCGAGGAGAAACAGGACCTCCCCGCTCCCTCCAAAAAAAAGAGACGCGGGCACAGAGGGCCTTATTTCTCCCGTCCCAACTCAACTGACTTCGTCTCAGTAGCTCTCAACGTCGTCTGCAGAATTTTATTCATATTTAAGAAGACTTCGAAAACTTCTGTAACGTTTTGCTTACCAGATTACGAGAAACATTTCGTAAAACGCATTGCGTTGACGTTACTAGTCGATGTACTCTTATGTCTACCAGCCATACAACGTAGAGTTCATGTCTCGGTCCTGATTTGACGATTGGCCGAGTCCAGCACTTACTACGGAGTACTAGCATGTTGCATCTAGCAGTAACGTAGTTAGTACCTCCCAGGGCACATCATTCGCGGTCTCCCAACTTCTAAGCAAGCATTTTCGGCTGCCTGCTTCCGAACGCCAAGCTCCCAGAAGACTACAAGGAAAGCCGGCGGCGATAACTCAGGTTTCTGGTCGTTTACGATGATCATTGGGGCCATGTCATAATTGTAACAGTTAGCCGCAAAGCGCTCAGCGCCAAAGGAAAAAGTGGTCTTCCAGCTCGATTACTAAATCAGTAACTGGGGGCCTTGTACCAAAATGGTCCGGCGGCGCGAATGTCCGACAAACTTAGGTTCTTACGGAGTAGATCTCCCGACTTGGGGGGAAAACACCGAAACCTGTTGCTACTTTCAGCCTAGAGCTCTCCTCTCAATCAGGCTCCATTGACATCTTTGCCGGCCTTGAGACATAGACCCAGCACCAGCAGAGTCGCAAGTTACCTTTGCAGCACCACCTACTTGCCACCGATGAAAAATCACGAAACCTTGAGTCAAACCAATCATCACAGACCATGGCAAGGGGTGATCTGGGAATACAGTATGCTTCAGTGTTCAAGTTCAGAGACACCAAAAGTACAAAGCACACTCAATAGGACTTCGCCTACAATATAGCCTCCGCCCATTCCGTCGCTTTCACGGTAGTTCTGCAAAAGCTGCATATCTGCACTCACAATTGCAGCAGAAACTTGGGCCTTTGGTTGGGTTTCTCGGAGCTAATCCTCGAAAGCAGGACGTGCTAAATACCCCATGACATATCTCAGTAGGTAAAGGCAGTACCAGAGACTCGAGAGAGAAAGCCTCTCAAGATGGTGGCGTCAGGGGTCCACCTGCCGCTTCGTGATGGGACCTCAGATTTCGAAGGAACCGGGATCATGGATCTCGCATCGTTCAATCAAAAATGCAACTGCTTGCACAGAACAAGTGCATAGCGTCCCAGCTTCACGCACCGCACCGTGTACACCACCAACACTGGTCTGCCCGCCACCAACGACTGCCCCAAGTCCTTTGACAGTCCAATTATGAGACCTGACGGCGTTCAGCTGGACCAGGACTGGACCTCTGATGCCTTCAGAGCTTTTCAGCCTATCATCGGGGCCTATCGTGGCCGTCCTGCAAGGGCGTTCGTCGGCTAGTGATGGGAACTCGGAACTGGCCCAGCATGGCCAAAGTTGACATATCAGT